CACTGGATATAAACTCCCCAAAAAGGCGAAAACCTACCAGTGTCACCCACTGTCTCTGCCACCTCCCCCCATGCCTGGCTCCTCCGGTTTGTATCCATGTATGTAAAGAGGGACTGGTCATATAGTACCGCCACGATCTTTTTCTCCTCCATTTTTTTACATATGGGAAATAACTGCGGCCTGGCTCTCCCAACATACACGCGGTTTGATTGGCTAGCGCTTGTAATGTCAGATTTGCATACGCGGGATTTGATTGGCTGACGCCTCCGTCGAGGCGGCAAAAGTAGAACATTGCTCTACTTTTGCAGCGAGCACCGCGAGAGAAGCTACGCTTTGCTCCCACAATGCAGTTCGGCGAATCGTGACGTCACCCCATTCAAAGTGAATGGGCAGAAGCGTTGAAGCGGCAACGCACGCCGCCGTGTGTAGGCTCCGTTAGGGAGGTCCAGTGGTTCCTAAACTAAAGGAGGTTATAAAGGAGGTTTGAAACCTCCTTTCCTTTCATTTGGAGAATTGGAACGGAACTTATCATGGTTGCCAGTGACGAACTTCCGTGTCATTTCACTCCGTTAGGAAGGTTCCTAAGCTAAATGGACTATTGAAATGCAACCCATGACTTATCTCAGCCAATGACAGCTCTGCATGCATCCCCTGGATATTATTTTATTAACTGCTCTCATCGCGATGCGATGTTTACAGTGAGAACAGCTGTGAGGTCCGTGCAGAAAGCAGAGCAGTGTGTATAATATATATATCACTCAGTATAACAGGCCTACTCTCTTTAATTGCTTTAGTTTAGTAGATATCTACAAACAAAGAGTTGATATTTTTCTAAAACCATTTAGTGCTTCACATAATAAAATACACAACGGCTGTAGCCTGATTATGCTTTAGGAGCTGTACTAGGTGCGTGTGTGTGGTACAGTGTGTAGTATGTATGCAGCGGACAGACAGGTTTGGTGTTAGGTTTGGGTTTGGTTTGGTGTCCTCTGCTTACTTTTAATAATTGTAAATACAACTTTTGGCCCTAATTTATTTTCCTCATTGTAGCGACCAGAGAGGGGAGAGGGGGGGAGGACGTTATTATGAGATTGCTCTGTTTGATACTGAAATTGTATATATTTATATAAATATATTTAAGCAATAGCTCACGACAGGCCGTGGTATTCGCGTCGGGCCGAACCACGGCCCTTAGCTGTGATATAATGAGCATATATCACGGCCTGAAGTGAGCTATTGCTTTTATAAAACGGTTACCAAGTGTGGCAATATGAAAGAAAAATACACACTCTAATTTAAATAGTTTTTATTAGTAATGATGTTCAAAATAAAATATTCCCTCCGTTGCCTTCTGCACAAAACATAGTGCGAGGTGGTTGCTATGCAACAACACTAACAGCTAGCGAACATATTAGACAGAGAGCGTTGATCCATTATTTGGCTATTTATTTACATTCATTTTTGTATGTTGCCGTTTATTGTGCACCCACTGAAAAACTGTCCAGCATCAGTAGCATGGCTTACGTGGTTACTTGTATAGGTTGAGGTTGTTCTAATCTAGGCTGTTGCTTGGCGTGGCGAGAATATTGCTCCACTTTCTCCGGTCCCCGAGATTTGGCTTTCACTAGCTCTGGAGAGAGCTTTCGCACCTGTGGCAATTAAGGGTCATCATCTCTCTGCTTTGTTTCAAGACCCGCATCAGAAAGCTTTTGAATGGTGGTACTTCTCCAGTTGGTCTACCCTGCTCTTCACGTAGCTCTGCATGTCGTCGTTTAGGTGCTTTTTTTTTTCTGGAGATAGGCACTGCTCAATCCACTCCTCCATAGTAAGACCCCCCCCGGAGGTCGAAGTTAATCTTAAATGTTTCCATGTTATGCTTTGTAAGTTTGTTTCGTAACGGAAGAAATGTAAATATATTTATAAAACTGAGAAGTCAAATCAAGCAATCTGATTGGTCGATAGTGTTTTTGCGGACCTCTTTGATTACAGATTTGAAAACATCGTTGCTTGCTTTAAAAGTAGCACAACTCATTATGTCAAACCTTGGAAAGTATCTAGAAATCCCTGCCCTAATGCCAAAGGAACTGCACACTGAATATGTTTTGCCGTTTGATGTCTATGTCTGGACCGCTGCGTAAAAGGGAGGGTTTCTGTCCCGTTACTTCTCCGCTGCTTTCTTGTTCCAGTATGAAAAGCAAACTGCAAGCAGTTTGCTTTTCAGCCCAACGGTATACTGTTTTTCTCAGACGCGGAGGGATACTGATTTGTTGTGAAAAGTAACTTACAATTCTACCCGTGGTATACGCTCAGTATATCACGGCTAAGAACCAATCAGATTGCTTGATTTGACTTGTCCGTTTTATAAACATATATATATGTGTGTGTGTGTGTGTGTTGTGTGTGTGTGTGTGTGTGTGTGTGTGTGTGTGTGTGTGTGTGTGTGTGTGTGTGTGTGTGTGTGTGTGTGTGTGTGTGTGTGTCCGCATCTGTAGCCTGTTATTGTCTCATTATACCGCACTGTGAATGAATTAAAAGTAAATATATAAGTCGTCATGAACACATCTTTCCATCAGACAGAGTGCTGCTGTGCCTCCTGTCATCATTAATTAGACCCTCCAGAAAAACGCGGGCAAAAATCCTTGATTATGCGGGCTAAAATCCTTGATTATGCAATCAAACATGCGGGGTTTTATGTGATTTTATGCGGTGAAATTGCGGGAAGTTGCGAAATATGCGGAAAAATAAATATTGGGCTGTCTTATTTATTTATTCTCTCTCACACACAACCTGCCACTAACGTTAAACCCCTTTACTTAAGCAATCATACACGAGAGGCCGTTCTTTAACGTCATTATTGGTACGACAGTACTGCGGCAGGACCGAGGCGCTTGCTTGGCCGCCAAGGGTATACCGTTTTTCTCAGACGCGGAGGGATACTGACTTGTTGTGAAAAGGCACGTTCTATTTGACCGTTCTCTGATCGTGGAATCAAACACGCCTATTGACCAATCAGAGAGCTTGCTCATACCTATGTGTTATAGAATATTCAATTAAACACATTCAATGTTTATTTATTGTAAAAGCAATTGGGCTATTTTAATCACACTCACACACACACACACACACACACACTTCTCCGCCTCATTCTGTTTTCATTTACTCGTTCATTATCTGACCAGCTTCAATCTTGTAGGCTACTCACTTCGTTTCTTGTAGCCCTCGAAAGGGTTTTGGAGGTTGATGCCTCGGTGAACGTGAGTTGTTTGGCTTTCTTCTCCGCAGCAGCAGAAAGCATTTTCGAATCTTTGAATGAATCAAAGTGGGTCGTCACCATCGATGTTCTCTTATGCTCCAACACACAGTTGCACGGGGTGCAGAATAGTTTCCCCCCACTTTCATGCAAGACATCGGGGTACTGCTTTGCCCGGTCTTTAGCAGAAATGTTCGTCGGTAAATGAGATGGATTAGATTTTTTCATCTTGGTGAAGAGAAACTCTCGTGTGAGAGTTCACTCTACGGTGTTGTTTACCTTCTGTGATGCGGGAGCTGATGACGTTGCGCATCATCATCACTTCAGGTCAAGACGAGTTAACTTTTTTTTTTTCTCAATTTTGTGTGGAAAAATGCGGGGATTATGCGGCCTTTTGATAAATATGCGGCTTTTTAAAAATCTGCGCCATTTTGCTGATTATGCGGTAAATTCAATCGCGTTTTTCTGGAGGGTCTAATTAATGGACGTCTCTTTAAAATGACCGCTCAGAGGAGAGGAGTTCTCATTTCTCTAACCGCCTGCTGCTTCCCCTCCTTTCTCCTCGGTTCCCCTCCTCGGCTCCTCCGCTCGCATCTTCTGTGGGCAGGACTAAGTCTCGAGGATAGGAGTTGAGGATAGGAGTCAAGGAGGGGAGTTAGAGAAATGAGAAAGGGCCATTGTTTCTGATAGCAACTTTCTGTGGGTCCGCTGCCGATTTGACGTCATATCGTCAGCAAATCTGTATCCGCTCGTTGTACACCTGTTTTTAAAAGATTTGGGTACGAAGGAAAAGAGAGAGGGTTTAATTTTCTGACGCTGCACGAGTTCCCCGACGCACCGGGGACACATATTTATGTATAAAAGACATCACAAAGTGCATTTTGCATGATAGGTCCCCTTTAATATAATCATTAGGAAACATTGCAGTGCAGAGAAGAGCTTCACCTGCAGTATAGAAACAATGCTGACCTCGACCGTCTGATATAACCAAACCTGCCCTTTCCTGAAAAAACATCACAAAATGTAGACCCCATTTTCAAACAAACAACCAGTGGCAAACCGTCAGGGCCTTCAAGGTATTTAGAGAATACCCTGGAACACTCAGATAAAACAAACAAAAAATAGATTTAATTATATAAATAAAATGTATATAAAATGAATAAATGAGAATCGTATCTGTGTTGTTGATCTGTAATATTACAGTGTTACGTTGATTTGTTTGTCCTTCTCGGACCATGCACTACGCATTTCAGTGGTTTTGTGTTAGAAAAGAAAGCAACCAATCAGATCTTGTTCTGGGTCTCTGGGTAGAATATCCTTCAACCAAGGTATTCTACATCCTTGATCGAATGCCCTAGCCGTTGCACTCAATGAGAGCGTACCTTTGGACTGACAGTTTGATCAACCAATCATATATTGATTTGTAGCCAATGGACGTATTCTTTCAGAGTTTCCCTCGGTTCCAGGGTACTCTAGAAGGCCCGCTAGTTAACTGGCTCGAGACAGAGGATCTAGATGAATGAGACGAAGCAATTCATGCCGTTTAATTGTTTTTAACGTTGAAATGACAAGTGCAACAGGTGAAGATGAAGTTTTTGCGGAATTGTTGTGAGTACCCTTTTCAAGACGACAATTCAGTGAAAAGACGGACATTATAATGCCGCGAAGGGGGGGGGGTGTGTGTGTCTACAGAAGGTCCAGTTGTGATGGACACGGTTCGCCACTGCAAACCACATACAGTGAGACTCACCCATAGCGTGTGTTAAGCTGGCCGCCCAACATGGATCCTGCAATCATTCCGATGCCATAACACAGACCTATTTTGGATAAAGCGTCTGCCCGTTTATCAGGTTCTGAAAGGTCCGCAACTACCATCTGAGATGCTGCAGGCAACGGATGAAGACATACAAGCAAATGGAAAAAAGTTTAACATAGAAATGTGGTTAAATATGTCAATAACAATATTGCACATTGGTTGTAACTCACATCACCACTTGATATCAAAATGTTCTTTAAGATCACTTAAGAATATTATGAATCCTTCTTTTATGTATTAGGAGTATGTGGTTAATATGTAATTAACTGAGCTTGTAATACAAATAGAATAACCAACACTTCTTAAGAGATGATTAGTGACAGTTATTGAATGTTTCTCAAAGGCAGAAGAGAGAGTCTTAAAAGCCTGTGTTTCTAAGAAATGTTTGAATTTTAAAATGTTAAGCTTAGTGAGCAGGAATGTAGAAGCGTGGTGCTCACCAGGTAGAACATGCATGAAGACTGTGGGGACTTTGTGGAGGAACAGCATGGCAGGACTCGATGCGATGGCCAGCAGCAGAAAGAAAACGATTGTCGCAGAACAAGACAGGGACAAAGCTGTCCGGGCACCGAAGATATCTGCAAACCTGCCATCAACAACAGCACCCACATTTTCATCTGGACAAAAACATTGTAGGTTGCTAATATCAAAAGACATAATATTTATTACATTAAATATCATTTAGCTGACGCTTTTGTCCAAAGCGACTTACAATAAGTGCGAAAAACATGAAGATTAAAACTCTGAAAAACAAGGAAAGTGCAAGATCACAGTAAGTGCTGGTGAATTACATATATATGTTTTCTTACCTTCCAAACATAGGACCACCAAACAGCTGGATTAAACCAACCATGGTTTGCAAATAACCAAGCCACAAGGTGTCGAAACCAAGTTTCTTTGCCAAATACTACAGAGACATAATGAAAGAACAGATACAAATTCACACAGTCATGTATGGCATGTAAACAAGCTCACAGCAGATTTCATCTTGATATGAGTTGATTCTTCCAACAGATTCAGTGTTGTAGCATTTGACACTCATTCTGCCTTAGACATTACGCAGATGACCTCTGTTTTTAATGTATATCATGTTTATTATACGTTTGTGTCATAGGATGGTAGGAATGAAAAGAGATTCCCATGTTTACAACTTCCTCAAACAAAAACATACTGCTGTTTGCAGTAGTACTCTATTGCAGTAGCTGTCAACCGATTAAAAAAAGTATTAACTCAACATGGCACAAGTCCTTTGTCATTGTTACTAGTTTGCTTTTGATGAATGTGGCTTTGAGCCATATTTGAGAAAGGTGGTGGTGACTGTAGTGGTTGAGGCATTTCACTACAGATTTTTTTCAGTGCAGCCAACATCAAGATTACATATTTTTAAAAGCTGAATCAACCTTATAGACTAAATAAAATTGCTCAATGTTTAAACTACTGTGATTTTCCTTACATTTTATATTTACATAATTACATAATCTTATGAATTCAATTTATACCATAGTTCCTTGTATTCTCTAGTAAATAATTAAAAGGTCACAAGACTTTTGTGTGATTGTGTGTATTTACTTTTACTTAAGTGAAGCGTTGTGCTTTAAGTGGAGCTTTTATTATATGCAGTATTTTCACATTGTAAAGTTAGTTTTTTTAATTGGTAAATAATCTGAATAGCCTTCTTCTAGCACCACTGGATATCATTATATAACAATGACATATGCTAACCTGCCTCCATAAAGGAAAATGTTTGATATAGTAATGTAAAAGGACTTTACTGATATCACGTATGTCGTTTATTTAAGAATGCTACATTTGTGAATGCTGGACTTTTCACATGTTATTAAGTAATTTCTCTGAGGTTATCTAACCGCTTACAAAAGAGAATGCTGCACATTCAATGAATCATAGTAAAGACAGCTACTGTTAACCTGTCCTAGGGTACACATCATCACGCTTACACTCATAATAACCATTTGTAACCATTCATAACAACATCAGTAATAACATTTATGCATTTCCGGGAGAGCTTTCGCATTCATGGCATGCACGGAAATATCAGCTTCCTGCTCTTGCCATTACATAAATACTCACAGGGGTGACGGAGAACTGTAAAAACATCAATGTGATGTCCAAAGTAGCGATGAGGTATACAATGTTAATAATTTTCTTTCTTTTCGGTTGGTCTATAACGTGAGCCTGGATGGGAACTGAAGCTTTAGCGGTTTCCTCGGCTGTTTCTCCTCTTGCACTCATTTTGCCTCTTGTATACAGACTTTTATATCGTTAGTGTTACCACCAAACGTAAGCTAACAGTCGGTAGGAAGCAAGCTACAAGACTTGTTCGGTAACAAAGCCTTTGACACGGTGCACTTTCGCATAATGTGGCTAACCTGAGTTTAGTACTTTGGAACCGAACATAAAGGCGACAAGGAGGCGTTACCTTAGTACTGCCTTGGTTTATTTAGTTATTGTCCCTCCCTTATACAATCTTTGGATCATCATCCCACCGATGGTCCCTAAACGTCTCATATGCAAACTAATGCTATGCAGAGGTGGGAACGTACATTTACGTAGCCTACATACGTACATTTATGCTACTTTATACTTATACTCCACTACGCAGGGCCGGTCCTAGACATGTTGGTGCCCGAGGCGAGATTATGATTTGGTGACCGCCCCCCCCCCCTCTATACAATAGAATATATAAAGAATAAATGAAACATCTCTACAAAAGACCAATACACTACAAGAACTGAAACGTATTGACATGTTGGTTATATACATAAAGAAGGTTTCAAATGTATTAATTATTGTATGAACATGTTTTAATTGGGGGGTGGACGTCACATCCTCTAGGGGGGTCCGGGGGTATGCCCCCTGGAAAGATTTGTTTAACATTTTAAAGTTAAATGCTTCAATCTGGTGCACTTTGAGCAGAATTACTAGAGACTAGATCTAGGGGACGTACAACTTTAAACACCCATATGAAAAAGATCGGTTTACATTTTAATAACCAAATAAGTATGTGAACATAACCAATAACCTACCATAGCCAATAACAAATAAATGTAACATATTTTATTTTTGTTGTTCATTTATATCTTATTTGACCTAGTTAACATTTATTTATGCATATTTTTTTATCTCTCCAGTTTTAAACAATATTGTTGGTTACTGTCCTATAGTAGGCTATACATTGAAATGATTTCAAACTTGTTTTTATTTATCCTAATATTTATAAAGGTGTGCCTTGGAAATATTTGTTTACATAAATTGTGACCAAACCGTTTCAGACCCACTGAGATAACTTAGACTAAAGTGAACTATCTAAACACCTTTACCTCACTAAGCTGTAGTTATCACTCAGCCTCAGTCCAACAACAATCCGCGTTACCGATGTGGGCCGTCTCTCTCTCTTGCTCGCTCGAAGGCTCGCTCGCACTTTGGCTGTGAGCTGTGGGCGCCTGATAAATCAACATCCCCCACTTTCATCACTTACAGCGCCCATCGTACAGGGCAAATTAAAAGTGTAACCGGGGTAAAAAGGGTGTTACCTTGACTTAATTATGCATGTTGTTACATCAAGGCTGAACATTAGGATGAGCCAAACAGTCAAAAAAAAAGTTTCCCTCCCAGAACTAGCGCCACTACCTTTAAAAGGGAAATAATGTAATTTTACTCCACTACATTGTTGTAATCATTGTTACATCAGCTTCAATAACGAAATGCATCTTTAAAAATAAACTAGTGGACTAATATAACTCTTTAAGTCACTAAAGAGTCCAATTATTTAATATTTTACGAAAAGTCAATCAGAATTGTGTTGTCATACAGTAAAATGCTACTTCATGCAAAAATACAATCTAGAAATATTTTCGACAATAATCTATTAGTACTTTTACTCGCCCTCTTGCGGTAGATTCTGGTGATACTGAGGTAAAATAACAAAGAATTACACAACATCATGAATAACATCTGGACCCAAAGAGTTGAATTATGCATCCTTGTTGGAGAAATGTTATACCTAACAATGTATGTGATTAAAATGTTAACACTTTTGCCTTCACTATATAATCAGTCAAATAATCTAACATTAATCTAATATTAATTTACAGTTAACTGTCCTTATTTATTGCAGTCTAATTAATGGGTATGAGATGTGTTTACTGCTAGAAGAGTCCATTTATAATCAACAATGACTTTGGTTTGCTCTGGGAATTTAGAGGAGATATAAAGAGGATTGTCTTGAGGTTTATTATTAGTGTGATGAAATAGGAGACAATTTGATACAATTACTTAGCTATAGGCAGGATTTCCAATCATTGATCCAATATGCAACTATTGTGAGTTGCATACTAAAAGCCTTCTTTGAGAATGAATAAGATATATTGTTTTAAACTTATAAGGTCTTCTCACTCTTTTCATACCGATTTTTAAAATAAAATGTAGTTATATGGTTCTCATATTTTTGAAGTAAAAACAAACAACTTGTTAAGGTTCTAGTAATTCACTGAATTTCCCCTGTAAATAACAAGTAATGTGTAGACCAGGCATCCTCAAACTACGGACTCCGGTCCGGATCCGGACCGAACCAGCACTGTCTCCGGACTCTGAGCAAATTATACTTTTAATATGTATTATCTCTCTGTATTATATGTGAGACATCGCCACAACGCATTCGCAACGAGTCAAAATTCTCCGCTATGTCCACTGCAAACAGCGCTCTGCATGTCTGACTGTTCCACTGTGTTCCACCTGTGTGTGTCAACGCTTTGGTCCAATCACATTCAGCATCCAGTCAGCGTTTTTTTCCCCCAAACAATCTGCGAATCAGAGGCACAGTAGGGCGGGTCTTCGCGGAATGCGAGTGGGAAAAATGTGTGTGTCTCTTTCAACCTGTCTAAGTCAGAGCGAGAATTAAAAAAAAAAAAATTCAGAGCGAGAGTTAACAGCTCACCTAGTTCCATCTGTACTGTAGCTAGTAGCCTAGTTTCACCTACCGGGGTGGCAACTGACACCCTAAAATAGGCCTTGCCACCCCAGCTGCCACTCCAGTTGGCAGCTTGTTTTGAAAGAAAAGTTGTGGATCATCGGACATTTATGAGAGAAAGTCTCTAATGTCCGAGTGCAAGTGAATGCAGCACAAGATGCACGTCATGTAACCCCTCCCCCGGTCCTGGCGCGAGCGTGGACATACGATTTGCGGCGATTTCATTTTGAACTGGACGGCGCAAAACGAGAAGCATTCGGACCCAAGCACTGAAGGAATGAGGTATTTGCGGTCTGACAGAGAAGAGACTGTCAGTGTGGCTGTACTCAGCATTGAATCAAAACGCACTGAAGCTGTTGATCTTAATACGTTTGTGAGGCGTTTTGCTGAATAAAATGGTAATCGCCGCATTCAGCTGTAATAGACATGTCAACTTGATGCTCTGCTCACGGATGAGCATACACAACTATTAAGATGATGACCTTACGTGTGTAAATATATTGTTTTCTTTGAGGGGGTCTGCCCCCAAAAAACTGTTTTAAGTCCTGAGAAAGTCAAATCAGACGTTGTGTAAAACTACACTGCCCAGCCAAACAAAAGTAACCACTTTGATTGAACTAGGCCAGTAGGTAAGGACTTTCCACTGGATAATAACTGCAGTATAAAAGAATGCATGACTGAAGTGATGGAGACCATGTTGAAGGCAAACAAAAAGAGGAAATAACAGGTCAAATCAAGCAAATCCCTCTCAGATTCCACAGCAACCAGAAGAACATAAATACTGGCTGGTGATTTGATTCATCAGCTTTGTGATGGAATAAAAAAATGCACAGTGCATTTCCTTAGCTGTGGGTGAGTCCACTGACACCACTGACAATGCTCAGTTGCTGGTGTTAGTGAGTTTTTATGATGAGGCAAAGGGGGAGTTTGTTGAAGATGTGTTGGGCCTGACGAACCTCAGTGGACACACAAGGGGGCATACATTTATAAAGCACTAATGGGAATGCTGAATGAAAGAGGGTGCAGCTGCCTTTATTCATAACTGTGCAGCTCTTACACTGCGAGTCTGAGGGGTCAAGCACAGAAACAATAACAATGAAAACTGCTGCATACAGATTATTTTTGTTTTTGCAACCTCGTGTTAAGAATCTTGTTGCAATTGTTTAAAAGTTTGAATGACCGTAATAAACGGACCTTTGTCTTATTGAAACATTTATTTTGGACCTTTAAGATTTGTATTTGAGTACCCCTGGTGTAGACCATACACTCCTGTCTGATAGCGCTGATGGAGTGCTGGCACTCCATGTCTAATTTGTCTTTTTCTAATGTGCTTTTAGTTATTTTATTTAAAAAAGAAAAATGTTGTGCTTTTTGGTTTCACAAAAAAAAAAAAAAAATAATGTAGACCTATTTAACTCAACTTCATATATTTATTTTATTAGGTAATTTAACTTTTTTGTGAGGAGAAAACACATCAGACACTCACTATTACAAGACATTAATGTATTAGTAATTTTAAAGTGTTAGCCCTTTACAGCTAATCTTATTTTGAAGCGCGTAACGCCCTCTTCCCGGAAACATGCTCCATCACATCCCCTCTGTCGTGTGTGAGTGGGGGTTGTCGGCAGGCTGTCAGATGAGGACGTAGGTTTACAGTTTTAGTACATTTCTTCTCATTTTATGGCATGTAGATATCAGAAAGCACAGAGTGACAATGCAGATCCTCACCCCGCATGTTTACTGGGCTCAGCGGCACTCAGAGATCTTCCTCCGGGTGGACCTGAGCGATGCAAAGGTAACCACGCCAGCTTTAACTCTTACAGACCTGTCGTTTACTGATAAAGACATATGGTTTAATGCCTTTAATCTTTAATATATTAATGCTGTGGGTGTAACAGAGGCTTATTCATGTTTAACATATCCCTATGCTAACGGCTAGCCTAACTGTTGGCTACCGTTACACCGCTATTTTTGACCTATGACGTTTATGTGTGATGCCCAGAAGAAAACTGATAATACGTTAATAATGTAATGTTACGCATTTGTTCTACGTCCAAAAAATATATACGTTTGTTTTTTACGGCAAAATACACAGTGCAACGGGAGCTGATAACAATGTATTGTCTGTCGGTCGGACTTCCTTGTTAATCACTACTCTCCACCGCTATCAACTGCCACTAAAACAAATACAATGATATCAAAGTCAGAATAAATCATTCAAAATACAAAACCCAGCTCAATACTAAATATATTGGGATGTTAATGCTTTCTGTCAGCCAGTCAAAACCTGTATTACTACTAATAATAATAATTGTGTTTATTTTGGTGATTTATCTTCACCTCATCACCATCTATAACTGACTACTTTCATCTCATTCTGTTGGCTAAGTGTTTGCATTAGTTACAGGTATTACTGGTTTTCCTCCTCGTCCTGCATCTGTTCGACAATGATCCTATAAAAGATGCATGACTTGTAATGGTTGTTCTGGATCTTGTTTAGCCCCTTAGCAGAATGGCTCAATGATCACTGAAACAGGCTGACAGAGCAGGGTCGGCTCTAGAACAAATCAAATGGGGGGGGGGCAATCATTTACCAAGGGGGGGCACACACTGCCGTCAACAACCAACACACAAACACCAACGCAACTTCAATTAAAAAAAAACATGCTGTAAAGTCTATTGTCTTTCACACACATTGCAGGGGTGTAGTGCTATTGTATAGCGCACATATGACTTGTGCATACATGCACGGTTGTGGCACGATCACCAAAACAGAAACATATGGACATAGGCCACCATATGAAAAGTGTGCAAATGTATTTAGTATCCTATCCATGTGAACATGTTTTAGGTGGGGGGTGGACCTAACCTCCTCTAGGAGGGGTCTGGGGGCATGCTCCCCCGGGAAGATTATTTTTAAAATATTGAAGTTAAATGCATCAATCTGGTGCACTTTGAGAGCAAAATGAAGAGATCTATGGATACATCTCTCAACATCCATATGAAACACAACTGTAAACAGATTTACTTTTTCTTTATGGATATTTTACTAATCACTCCCCTTTTCAAATGTATTCTTGTGTTACTGTCCTATAGTATTTCATACCCGTTTTTCATTTATTCTCTTATTCTTTAATAACTATAATGATCATATAAAGGTAGCCTATTCCTCGCAAATACTTGTTTACATAAATGGTGAGCAAACAGTTTGAGACCCACTGAGATAACTTACACTAAAGTGAACTATCTAAACACTGAGAGAGTCCTTACCCCACTGAGCTGACGTTATAAGATCCTCTCAGTCTGACAGGAGAGGACTCTCCTCCACCTTGGTGTAGAAACAGCTCTTTATATCCGTTAGCATAGCTAGCTAACCAGATGCTAACAACAATATTCCACGTTACCGCTCGCGCACTGACAAAATGCGCTCGTGCCACACACAGAGAGCCGAGCTTGAATGAAACACAGAGACCCATGTACTTGTACTGTACTGTATATCATATTATTTTCGATGGCTTTACTGTATAATCAGTATAACAGATGGACAGATCGCCACTGGGCTTTCATCTAAACACACAGCCACGTAATGATAACAAAACAAAAGTCGGGGTCATTGGTCAAGCAACACACCAATCAGAGAGCAGCAGTGAGCACACCTCAGGCTGTGTTTCATATAAAGAATAAATAAAGAATACAAATGTGTATTCTTTATTTCTGATGTATTTCACACAAAAAACTTTTGGTGGAAACGTTTTAACTTATATGATTTTTTTTTTAAAACGGCAAATTGGCAATAAGGCTCGTTGGGGGGGCACAGTGACTCATTTGGGGGGGCATGGCCCGCGAATGACCCCCCATGACGCCGACCCTGTGACAGAGGAACACCTGTCATGTTACGTATTTAACGCCAACTTATCAATAAGGAAAGACTAAATATAAAACATATAAAATGTGTTTCAGTATAATGCAATTACAATCATTAACACAAATGACAGCCTATACAATGCCCAAAAAGTTGAAGCAACACCTTCCTGCTTTACGAAATATATCGTTTTAGATTTTGGATATTCTAATATAGCAAAAGTGTATTTTCCTGGTTTTAAAGGCTGCATTGCAGTAAAGCTATGTGTTTTCTTAAACTTAACATACCGCTCTATTAGTTGCCCTACTTATCATCCCTATTTGTGGGTATGATTTATTGCATTTATATAATATTACAGGGCTGTTGTATTTGACTGCAATACTTAGCTTAGTGTACATAATAAACTGGGTACTTGTTTTAAAGGGTTAAGTCTGGGTTATTTTAAATGTTTGCAAACCAAAAACAATAATGTGTGGCTCTCACTAGTAAGTCTTTTGTGAATTAAGACAGATATATCTATTTTTGTGTGACATAGAATTCCTTTAAAGCCAAAAACCCAATAACACCATCCTTCCTCTTTAAACCCTTATTACAGCACCTAATATGTATTGATCCGCTGTTGAAGATAGTACCCAGCAAATAATTTTTTTTGTTTTATTTAAGTAAGATATATAAATAACTACATTGGCCAGTTGTTTAAAAATAATGAATATATATGTGTTTAAAAATAATTACACCTTCAGCTTATCCTTACATTTGTATTTTGTGCATCAGTGTCGGGTTGGTGGTGATGGTTGCTGTTGTGTTTTTTAGGATCTCGACATCAGTGTACAAGAAAACAACACACTTCAGTTCAAAGGTCAGTATTTACATGGGTGCTTGTGAGGAGGAAACACACTTGCATAATGAAAATATTGAAGCAAAACATTTTCTAAATAATCTTTAAATATTTCACATGATTTATTATATTTGACATGATGGCAATTCATATTGTTCCACAGCACAGGGCCATGGAGCTAAAGGAGATAATGAATACCAGTTCAGTCTGGAGTTTCGGGAACCTGTTAGAACTGAGGTAACAATATTTGTATTCATCTCTCACTTATGTGTGTTTAAATTGATTTTAATATTGAGTGTTGTCCAATTAATTTAAATGTAATCGAAGTTGCAATATATATATATATATATATATATAGACATTTTTTATTCATTGGGATAAACCCCTTGAGATGCACCATCTCGTTTTCAAGGGGCTCCCGAAAAAAATATGGACTGATGCAATGTCCAAATGTCAATAAGCTCAATATTTTGTAAAGGCCACATACATGAAAATGTAATTTTGATTAAAGTATTTTCATGCTGCAGAGATGTCTATAAACAGATTCTTACAATCTAAATAACTCTTTGTCTGGTACACATCAATCATTACACCATGATCATTTGTATACATGTTTCAATGACAATGTGACGAATGTTTTAAAAAGGGAATTTTGTATTTATTTTCAAACCGTACAGCCCTAGTTATATTGAAATGTCTTGTTTTTGCACAATTGTAATGTGTTTTCCTACAGTGTATAATATAACTCTTAAGTGTTGTCACTTTGTTTCCAGCAGTATTTACAGATACCGAGATATACATTTAAAATGAAATCATTGCCTTAAACTATAAAAGGCAATACATATTATAATTTTCACAGCAAGTACAGTATGCACATTGGCAAATTTCATACAATTTCTCCGTATAATGACTGCATAAATGTACCTTCTAGAAATAACGATACAAAATGTGTCCAAATGTGTCCTTTAACCAAGTTATTTTCAGTCAGTAGTTGATCAAATGTGGTTCCCAAGCTACTCACATTACATCTTTGCCTTCTGCTTGTCTCAGTTACGAAACCTGATAGACATTGTAATACCTTTCAGATCAACCATAAGTCCACCCAGCGTCAGGTGGACATCAAGATCAGGAAGCAGGAGGAGCGCTGGTGGGACCGGCTGACTCTGCAGGAGAAGAAGCCTCTGTTTCTGGCTCCAGACTTCGACCGCTGGCTGGACGAGTCGGACGCCGAGATGGAGCTTCAGGCTAAGGTATTGTGAACATAAAATGAAGTCCACACTGAAAAGGCTTTTGACTGATGAGGCAAATGAGTAGATGGGATCATTCTAATTTCAGTTAGGACAGTTGGTGCTATTTTTAGTCCATGCTCAAAGTTGTTTTAAATACGATGTCGGATTTCACTGGGATTTTACAGTAATGTGAACCCCTTTACACATTAGTTGACAAAGCCACCATCCAAAGAGATGTCTCTTTGTTTGGGAAAACATAGCAACTATTACAGGAATGCTTGCCAATTTCTCAAAATGATTCAATAAACTATGTGTTGGAAAGAAAGGTAAGATAAGCAAAATGTATATGTTTTAGAGTCTCACAGACATAATCTGATCCACCCCTGCTGTTTCTCTGAATGGTTTGGCTTAGCATATATCAAACATTGTAAGACTCCACCACACTGTCTAACTTTATATATATCTAAATTATATTTAAATATATATATTTGCAATATTCCCGGTGCTAGACCTTTTTAAATGGCATCTTTCTACGATTGAGTGGACTGTGTTAATATAAAATCGCAGTAGCTTAACAATTCATTATTATGAAATTAAAATCTTGTTTTTATGTGGTAATGTCAAGTGTTTACTAACTCGTTTTTTAAAACCTTATATTAAAAAAAATGTCTTTATGGTTTGATTTTTTTCAGGAGGAAGAGAAAATAAACAAGATAAGTGTGGAGTCGAGAGTTCGTAAAGACCGTGAGTCCCACTGTGCTCTGTGCTACCTTCCAAACATAACCTCACAGAAGTACTTCTCATATGTGTTAGCAACATTAGCATCAGTTATTTGAGTTATATTCTTCTCTTCCTCAGCGTACCTTGGGCTGAAGAGGGGCTACTTGTTTATGTACAACCTGGTGCAGTTCCTGGGATTCTCCTGGATCTTCGTCAACATGACCGTTCGACTCTTCATTCTTGGTCAAGGTTTGTAGAGGAATACGTTTATGTCCAGGTCAACCAGTTACCCCGCAGTACTGGAAGTTTGCCTAACCATTTTTAGAGTGTTTCTGTAAATACAAGATATCTGCTTTTCTTTTGTTTATTACTGACAATCATTTGGTCTTGAAGCCACAGTGCATTACATTACATCTTATTTAACTACATGTAGATTATTAGATTCTGCTGCAAAGGCTGGATCAAATGTGGCTATAATCATAGTATGCCATGAACAGACATTAACCCTGCACACCACATTTTATTTGAAGTAACTTTACTGTCAGTTACATTGTTCTTGTGCTTTGTTCATTACATCACACGGATCTCAAAGATGATGTGGAACAGTTGAGTAAAAGCAGAATTGGCAAACTGTAAAGGGATGGACGAAATCAAGATAAAAACCAGACAATTGCACTCCCTTTAATAGCTTTTACATTTCATGGGCTGCATAATAAATAAGACATCATTAGCACCACTGCAGCTAAATGAAACACAGGAGGTCCAGAAACACAGAGAGAAAGATTGAGCTCTGCGTTTTTGTTTGTGAGGGAGCGATTCACAGATGAGCTCATTTAAATTGAAACAGGAACACGGCTACGCAGCAGGGATTTGTTTTGCAAATGACGAGGATTATGAATAGACGCTTATGCAATGTGCGGTTTAATTATGTCCGTTTGTTTCTCTCTCCCTTCACAGACTCGTTCTATGATACCTTCCACACCACGGCCGACATGATGTATTTCTGTCAGATGATGGCCGTGCTCGAGGTCATCAACCCCTTGCTGGGTCTGGTTAAGACTGGATTCTTTCCTGCTATGATACAGGTAGAGAGAATCACTTCATGTTTTATTCTGATTTCAAGCCTGATTATGTAAACCCAAGTAACACCTAAACATTTGAGTCATCAAAAAGCAAAGTTACGTGCGTGCGTGCGTGCGTGCGTGCGTGCATGCGTATGTATGGTCTGCAAAGGCTAAAATCCCAAGATTCCCCTGCCTGAAACGCCACCATTTCACTATCTAACACTTGAGCTTCTATTGGCTAGCGCTCTAACACATTGTGCATGAAAGGCTAAGGGGCGGGACATTTCTTAGCAGTTGACCAATCACAACAGAGCCGGCCAGCTGGTTTCAGACAGAGGGTGAAAAGAAGTGCTGCATCACAAGCAGTATGAGACAAATAAAGAGCTTTTTGATCATTAAAGCATGGAGACATGTCCCAGTAGAGACTACATACTGATATACACCTGAACATAAGCATCAAGGTCCCTTTAAATATGGGGCAAATGCTGCAGATTTTCAGACAGTTGTAAGCAGTGGTGTAAAGTAACTAATTACATTTAATCAAGAAGTTTACTTGAGTACAATTTTGAGAGACTTGTACTTTACTTGAGTATCTAATTGTTTTGCTACTTTGTACTTCATTCACTACATTTATTTACTACCTTTTAGATACCTTACAGAATTGGATTAATGATGTACATTTTCACAATCCACCCTGTAGTATAGAAAGTCATTCAAACTAGCTGCACCTTTACCAGCTTTGATAACACTTTAATGCAGCAATAATTATAATCAAAACATTTGATATATATTATTCTAAAATGGGCCAATCTGCATAATGAGTACTTTTACTTATGGTACTAACTATTTTGATGCCAATACTTTTTTACTTTTACTTGAGTAACATTTTGAATGCAGGACTTTTTCTTGTAACAGAGTATTTCTACACTCTGGTACTTCTACTTTGACCCAAGTACAGATCTGAGTACTTCCTCCACTTTTGGTTGTAAGAACAGTATTGTCTTAAGCATCACTATCTGATACTTTAGCATTCATATTTAACATCATGTGAATAATAGTATCTAAACTCTGTCTGATGGTTCTCTGTTGCAGGTGGCAGGGAGGAACGTCATTCTGTTTGTGATCTTCGGCAGTCTGGAGGAGATGCAGAACAAACCTGTGGTGTTCTTCGTCTTCTACCTGTGGAGCACCATCGAGATCTTCAGGTCCGTCACATCATCATCCTCCCCTCTCTGCTCTACATGCGTAACTGCCTCCTCTAACACAGGCTCTTCCTTCTCCACATCAGGTACCCGTTCTACATGCTGGCCTGCATCAGCACAGAGTGGAAGCTGTTGACGTGGTTGAGGTACAGCCTCTGGATCCCTCTGTACCCGCTGGGGGTCTTGGCTGAAGGTTAGAGATTAGAATACTGAGAAAACAGTGGCATAGACAAAGTTGGAGGGGTACACATGAGTTGTTGCTGACTGTGTGTCTTTCTGTACCTGTTTCCAGCGGTGGCCGTGATCCAGTCCCTGGCCATCTTTGATGAGACGCGTCTGTTCAGCGTCCCCCTCCCCGCGCTGCTGGGAGGCTCCCTGAGCTTCTCCTACACTCTGCAGATCTACCTGGTCCTCATGTTCCTAGGTGAGACATCCCTTACCTTCGACTGTACACAATAGCTTTAAGTTTTTATTAGCTGATGCTTATATCCAAAGCGACTTACAATAAATGCAATAAACCATAAAGACACCAAGTCATAAGAATGCAAGTATATTCACTTTGAATAAGCAAAACCATTGTAGGTTCTGGTGCATTAGCTTCAAATGTGCTAAACCCTTTAAGTGCAAAATGTATTTGTGTGTGTTGGGTTTAGTGGCCAAGATACAAGCAAGACATCTGGGTATTCAGTCTGTGACGAAGCGTAACTTATCATGTTGACATTCTAATTCTAAATCAGCATACAAATGCTGTCTTACAAAACTGACAATGTATGCTGCTTAAAGGAAGGCTCCCAGTCATTAGATAGTTAATCAAAACTTCAGTATTTAGTGAAACATTATGTTTAAACCATACCCTGAAGAAATCAGCGATATTCCCCGGTAAATAATGATTTTATAGCTCTTTTTTTTATCAAAACCTGTATATTCCGTCAGGCAGCTGCCATTTTGGCCATTTTCAGTAGTGACATGATCCGAAAAACTAGGTCGTGACGTCATCTATGCGTTCACTTTGTAAACACACGACGAAAACATGACGGAGTATTTGAGTTCGGACTCGTCAGCCGAGGAAGAAGTTTAGAAAAATAAAGTCCAGGCGGACTTACTTTGAATTATCACTATAGGTATTCATTCCATCCAAATACAACTGTAAAAAAAATAAAAAACATACTCTGTTATCCTCTTAGGCCCCACGGACCCGGTTCCGGGGCCTAAATCGCGTCATTTGCAGGAAACAACGTCTAAGGAACCTTAATATTTAATAAACTATGAATATTTTATATCCATATAACGGGAAAAAAAAAAATTAAATGTTTTCTTCAAAAAAAACACACAATGCTAACAGTGAGCCTCTGAATTAGCCCAGAGCGAAAAATGCTAACCTATTACTGCACCGAAAATCACTCCTAGCTCCCTTATTACTTATCCTAGCTGCACATCCAACACATCGTTTATGATCGTAAAGACACAGAATCTAACGATGCTCACCTCAACACTGAAAGATACAAACTCGCGACGTTATCAACAAAAACGTACATTAAAACAAGTGGCGCTAGGTACTAACATGCGCTAGGCTAACATAGCTTACCTTGGTCTTTGTCTGGTCTAAACTGGTCTTCAATGGCATTACAACGATAAAAACGATGATGTAGTTAATCCATAGGTTAATATCCAATGGGGCTGTGTCCCCTTTGAAATGTTCTGATAATCTATAAGCAATAAAACTGCAATTCCGTTATCTGCTGTCCGCTCCGTGCGCTCTGGGTCCTGCAATTCCTGCTTCCTTACGTAGTAAACAATAAGTAAAGTCTGCTGCGTAATGTGCTTATGCTGGCTGGCATTGGCAGTGCACTGCATCCCCATTAAGTAATGGTTGATTTAATAAATCCCATTTTATGTTTCATCATACTCTCAGAATAGTCGTCCGGAAACTTGAAATGTTCGCTGCATACATGCGCCTGTGGATCTTTCGGTTCGGGCCGAGCACATTTCGCTAGCCACTGCCTCCGAACGTACTTCCTACGCTTACCCGTTGGCAATAGATGGAACCGAGCATTCCGTGGATTGTTCCTATCCGAATTGTGGCAATGTTTCGCGATACAATGAAGCATATTTCTATAGAATTGAGAGAGTAACTAGAGTAAACAACATGAACAAAGCACATACGTCAATTTGTCCTCAACACCAAACGCATAGTTCACGTCACTTCCGGTAAAATAAGTCATGTGACTCGTCAAAATGGCGCCGCCCACAGGGTTGATGTTATTTCGGTAATTAATCAGTTAAAAATCACTGATAACGTCATCGGATTAAAAAAAAAAAAAAAAAGACTGGCAGAGACTGGTCTGTTTTATCGGATTATAATTATTTAAAAATGCGTGTCATGAGCATACCATTCCTTTAAGGAAAACTAATTGAACTGCAAAAGACAAAAGAGGTTTCTCAATACTCTAATTTCCCCTCTACGACTCCTTTCCTCGACTCCTATCCTCGATACTTAGTCCCGCCCACAGGAGATGCGAGCGGAGGACTGAGGAGGGGAAGCAGCAGGCGGTTAGAGAAATGAGAACTCCTCTCCTCTGAGCGGTCATTTTAAAGAGACGTCCATCAATGATGACAGGAGGCAGCAGCCCTCTGTCTGATGGACAGATGTGTTCATGATGACAATAACAGGCTACAGATGCGGACATATATACACACATATATTTATATAAATATATACAATTTCAGAATCAAACAAGTATGAGAGCACTCTCATAATAACGTAGCACAATCAGAGACTGGATATATCCCCCCCCTCTCTCTGGTCGCTGAAATGGGGAATTGAAATTACGGGTTAAGTATTAAAAGTAAGCATAGGATACCAAACCAACTGAGACCTGTCTGTCCGCCGCATCTACGCACTGTACAACACACACACCTACACACTGTACCACGCACACACCTACACACTGTACCACACACACCTACACACTGTACCACACACACCTACAGCTCCTAAAGCATATCATCAGGCCACAGCCGTTGTGTATTTTATTATGTGAAGCACTAAATGGTCTTAGAAAAATATTGACTCTTTGTTTGTAGATATCTACTAAACTACAGCAAATACAGAGAGTAATGTAGGCCTGTTATACTGAGTGATATATATGTTACACACTGCTCTGCTTTCTGCACGGACCTCACAGCTGTTCTCACTGTTAACATCTCGTTGCGATGAAAGCAGTTTCTAAAATAATATCCAGGGGATGCATGCAGAGCTGTCATTGGCTGAGATAAGTCCGGCCGTGCGTCACGCCTCCACTGTTCCCGGAAATGCATCCGTGGAGGAGCCGTGGAGGAACCATCAGTGTATCCTCGGTTAGAGCTCCTCCAGAGAGCCTGCTCGGTCCTCGGTCCTCGAAGTGCATTTAGAGAAATGAGATGTTCTTCAAAGTGGCGCGCTGAAATGTATTTCCGGGTCACTACCGGAGGAGTCGAGGAGGGGAAATTAGAGTATTGAGAAACCTCTAAAGTCATAATAAAGACAAATGTATTTCGATCAATAACAATTTGTTATCAAATTTACGAATCATAAAATATGAAGTCAGACATTTGAAGCTTGATTCATAAACCTCAAAAGAAGCGGTGAATGAAAATGTAGAAAAAAGGCATTTGGAGTCCGCTGCAAAGTTCAGTTTGTAGAGCTGGCTGCCCACACTTGGTCCCGATGCGAAGGACCCGGGTTAGAATCCAGCCTGGGACCGTTTGACCTGTGCTATCCCCTCCGTCTCCCCCTTTCAACACTGTCATTTAAATAAAGGTTGCAGAAGAAAACTCTAAAAAAACTGAAGACAACATGTGTTTTATTAGTCGCATTATAAATGTCTAACTGAAAATGTCATTTTCATGTGCAAAAATGTCCCTGGAAACAGTTTTGAATGAAGGAATGATTTACTTGTGTTGTGGAGACGGGGCTTACTAATGTGTTTGTGCAGTCACCCGATGAGACAAACATTACAGCTAGTCTATCAGCTTCATACTGACGGCTTTCTTCTCCTCCCAGGACTCTTCATCAATTTCCGGCACCTGTACAAGCAGAGGAGGAGACGATTCCGCTCGAGGAAAAGGAAAGTCCAATAACTCATCAGCCTGTTTTTAAAACACCCTGAACTGCCGTCCTGTTAAAGATTAAGCAGAAGGTTTATTTTCCTCAATTGCCTTTCTCATCTTCTACACACATACACTGACCTGAAGGAGGACTTTTCCCCTTAATCCTCCAATGGGTGAACTTTCCCCAGACCACGTCCTGTTTATCCTTCTTTAACAGCTGCACAACACACATCACCTGAAAAAACTGTACATCCAGTGCTTTACTAGTAGTGTGTTTATTCTCTTAAAAAATGTCATATTTATCAAGATGTGTGTCTGCAGTGGGACATGGAGTCCTCTGTTCCACAGTTAGAGTGGTTAAAGAAAACTCTTTCTGGGAAGGCTCGGGCAGATTTGCCCTTTTTGTTTTATTTATTGCTTTAGGATTATTTATTAAATGGTGGTCTTTGTTGGATCAAAACTCATAATGTTTTTAGATATCTTTTAACCCATGGAAGAAAAATCACTGATCCATCATCGGTGATGTAAGGTAGATAAGCTACAACACCATGGCTCTTGAGAAATGGTCAGATGTGTTTTCCAAACACTGAGGCTTGTTTGTCTCAGTCAGTCATTCACGGCTTTGAATATTAAAAAAGCCATGCAAATCTATCTTTTCATGAAACACACAATCCTTCCTGGCCTTTACACTAGTTTTATTGGCAACCTATACAACGATTAAGCTTCTACTTTGTGACCTACAAGGAGGACATGGGATTGACAAATTATGATTGAAGTATTGTTTGTTGGCTTTTTATGGTAAACGCTAAAAAATCACGCTAAACATACAAATGGCAAAATAGGAGAATGTTTATTTGAGGATGAAGTTGAAGGGCTAAATAAAAAGGTTATCTTTTTATAACTTGACAAATGCTTGTAGTACTTTATGCCAGTTCTAAATTGACAGCACCTCCAGAGTCTAGTTTTATCTTCTTTAAAGCACCATGTCAACATTTTAAAAATGGGCAACATTGGACACCCGTGGTCATTTGAATAAATCCAACAATCTGCCATGTGGACACTGACATGTATAGAAGGAACACAACAAGCACACACTGTTTTCTCTGTAAGTATACACAGTTGATGGTATGGTCAGTGTGCCAATTAATGCAAATATATGTTTCTACCATCAGAAGCTTACACTACAATCATAGAAATTCAACCTTTTGTTGTTCTTTGAACTGTGGATGTTTCGGTCAAGTGACAATTCTCTTAAGAATTCTGTTAGGAGAACAAAATTAAACTCTTGGCCAGGTCACTCTTGGAAAAGAGATTTTAATCTCAATGAATCTTTTACCTGGTTAAATAAAGGATGAACTCCAGATGCACCAAACATCCTTTACAATCCAAATCTGCTCTTACCCAGGTGTGACGAATGACAAATCTCACTGGATCTTAAATTGGAGAAGTGTGGCAGATGGTTTATTATTAGCACTGACGCTTCACACTAAAGAGGGGGGCAGGTGTTATTCTACTGTGAAACTGAGTGAAGAAGCTGAGCACAGGCAATATTGTTGAAGGATATGACATCATCAACAATGAACCGTCCACTTCCTGTTCCACCCAATCTGTTTACCCTTAGACTTTCCATTTGTTTTGGATTTATTTGTGTTTATTCAAGTTGTTGATTTTGTTTGTTTGTTTCAGTTTTTTTTTTTGTTTTTTTTTAATGGTGTTTGGGAAAGATGTGTACTTGTCATAAAGCTTGATTTAGACATTATTTGCATTTCAAAAGTCTTTAGGTAGGGACATTCAGACTAACGCTGCATTGTGTTCACAAATATGGTTTCCTGCCTAAAATAAACATCAGTTTTCTAAATTTGGAGGCCGGGTGTTTTTTTTCTCTCAATTCAGTTCCTTTTATAAAATATCAAACATTTTAAAATGTTTAATTAATTGTTTTACATTTCGCTGCAAGTAGGAAAGGATGGATGTTGTTGGAGATTCAAACGTATTAAAATGTCATGAAAATGTTTCCATTTCAGAACCATTCTGGATTATTTTCAAGGCGACATAAATGGTCAAAGAATGTCTCATCAGTGTAATTTATTTAGTGAGCGTTTGCCCCCTGCCACTCTTTAAGCCCCCAGCCACAGGGGTTTTCACTTTGCCTGATTGGACCTTTTCTCTGTGGCTGTATTCACCTTCTTTTGTTCAGTCAGGGCGGTACAGCTTAAGCCTTTATAATCATAATTTGGACATATTGGTGAAAGTCATTTAGCTTCTCAGCAGATGACTTAAATGTAAGGAATAAGTGAAGACTTGTGTGAGTGAACAGGGATTATTATGTTTGTACATTTTGACAGTGGAAAGGAGGTCCCATTCAATATCACTTATTGTTAATGAATTATTTCTTTAACTCAACTTGAATCACAGTCCAAATTCTTCAAACTTAACTTAAATTGAAATTTGAGATTTAAAAAGAAACCTGCATTTAAAAAAAAAAAAATTAAAAAAAAAGAGTTTCTTAATATTGTCATGTTGTAACAATAGTAAAAGTCTTATTTCCATATGTAAACATTGGAAATGTTTCCATTGAAAATACTGTGTATTATCACTGAGGCAAATATTTTCCCACTAAGCCAAGACGCACTTGTTTTCCAACATATGTTCTGCACTTTCATTACACGAATACATTAAATCCTCCACACCCCTAAAATAAGACTTCACCTGACCACACCCTAACTAAGGACCAAACCCCTCCTGTCAGCCTCTGAACATCAAACAGGCATCGCCCGCAGAGCTCCCTCCCAGGTTTCACCCTGAACCACAACCACACTTTGAATGTTGCTGTATTGATACAGCGTTATGTGCGAGGAGGAAGGTGAGAGGTGTTCGACTCCTAATCCTCTTAACTGCGTTATGCTGACCGTCGTCCAAGCCCTGACATGCTGTGCGCCCTTGTAGCTCCCCCAAACCCCGGAGTCAGCATCTCTGCGTCCGTTACGCACAGCTGGAGGGACGTGTGCAGCGGCGAGGGAGCGAGCAGTACGCGCAACAGGTAGGACCCGCACCCCGCTTAACAACAGCTTTCTGTATTGTATTGTCCTTTTGCTGATATTTTTGGATGTTGAAGGAATAATCTACCGGTTTGTGTCGACTTTACATGTTATAATCCGCGCTGGCCTCACATTTAAATCTGAACACGCCCTTTCTGTTCTCAGATGTGTTTGTTTTATTGCTATTAATGCACTGCGAGCTGGGTTAATTAATGTAGCATTAATGATCGATTATTGCACGCGGGCATTTCATCTCGTTGTTTCCGAGAGCTGTTGCCTCTGATTATTAATACTAATAATCAGAAGCCATTTCGTAATTTATTGATTTATTGTGAAGCATTCCGTTATTTTTTCAACGTGTCTTCAATTCACTCCTTTTTTAAGAGTAGCAAAAGCCTGCGTGATTATGTATCCATAGTAACAGGTGGCTGTCTGAACCCCCTTTAAAACACACACACGCACACACTTCTTTCTCTTCAGTAGGTTTTCCTCTGCAGCTATGCAAGCATAATGGACATAAGATAACACACATGTTCATGCTGATGGGATTCCAACTGTTTTCAGTTTCCAGTCCTTCCACAGGTTGCAGCTGCCTGCTGTAGAAGATGAAACACACTTGTCTGTGTGTGTGTGTCTTATCCATTGGCCATTGGTGTCTTCCCGCCACATTACGGAGTTGAAACCATCAAGGAATAACAATGCATCCGACATAACTTCCTGTTTGGAGTCAAGACCATGAGGGCAATGAAGGTGCACTCTCCCCCGAGGAGGAGACTCAAGCGCAGTCGCCTCCTCTTCTTCCTCTCAGGTGTGCTGCTGTGCTTCGTCTACACGCTGACTCTGAGGGCAAGGCTATCAGAGCCTGGAGCCTCCGCCCAGAGGGACCACACTCTCGGAGCAGATGTGAATAGTGATGATGATGTTGTGGAAGTCAACATTCGGGAAGTGATGGGGTCAAATGAGACGAAGGAGGAGGAGGAGGAGGCGGTTGTCTCACCTGAGAGCACCAATACTCCTCCGGTGATAGTTGTCAACAGAACAGATATCCAACAGTGTATCTACGTAGATCCTCAACCTCCCCTGACTCAACCGCCCCCCACCACCCCTCACCCCGCAGCGCAGCCCCCTCACAGGAAGGGCGGTTTTCCAATGGACATCTTCACAGTGAAGCAGCGGCGGCAGGGCTGGGTGGTCCTGCACCTCATGGGCATGATCTACATGTTTGTCGCCCTAGCCATCGTCTGTGATGAGTTCTTTGTTCCCGGGCTGGAGGTCATCACCAACAAGCTGGAGATCTCTGAAGACGTGGCGGGGGCAACCTTCATGGCGGCTGGAGGCTCCGCCCCCGAGCTCTTCACCTCCCTGATCGGCGTCTTCATCTCCCACAATAACGTGGGCATCGGCACCATCGTGGGCTCGGCCGTCTTCAACATCCTGTTTGTGATCGGCATGTGCGCCATCTTCTCCCGGGAGATGCTGCACCTGACCTGGTGGCCGCTCTTCAGAGACGTGACCTTCTACATCCTGGACCTCATCATGCTCATCGTGTTCTTCGTGGACAACATGATCCTGTGGTGGGAGAGCATGCTGCTGGTGCTGGGCTACATCAGCTACGTGAGCTTCATGAAGTTCAACAGTCAGATCGAGCACGCGGTGAAGACCCAGATCAACAGGCACATGAGTATCGTCAAGGTGTGGACCGCGGAGGATCCAGAGAAGGTCAGTTAGTGTCACACATCTGGATGGATGTTCTGGTTAAATTAAATGAAAAATCATGCATTTAACAACACAATGATTTGTGTTCACGCCAAGGTTGTCAATAACAAGCTGAGTTCTTATTAGTCTGCGTCCACAAAAGCTGATTTAATGATCAAATCAGGGTTTTATTAGCTCTATTCATTCAATTATCAGCTCCCCTTTCAATGGCTGCAGCTCCACATTTCTGATTACAGCCACAACTTGGCTCCTTCAGTACAATACATTCAATAATTGAAATCCCTGCTACACTAAAATATTTACAGTGACAATCCTCGTGATTTTACAGTGGCTGTTGTTTAAATGAATCTTTAATTATCTGGTTAAAGTAGAGACAACATGATTAATCAATTGACTTGATCAATCAAGGTAGAGAACATTTAAATAACCTTTTTTACAAACCTATTAAAAAAGATATAAAGAATAATACAAATTAACTGGTTATAGCTCATCTAGGACGCAAGTAAATTGTGACAGTAAACTGATTATCTTTGGGCATTTTTTTTAACCGTTTTCTAAGATTTCATAAACCAAGCAATCAAATCATACACATTTTTCAGATATCAGACACACCTTAATGGTGCCACAAATACTCCAGAGGTGGATGAATCTGCCGCTGAAAAAAACCCAAACAATTGCCCTAACAACAAATTAAATATTCAGCTTTTTTAATCACTTTAATCATATATCAATGAGCTGATTTTAAGATGTATGTTCTCAAAAGGGGCTTGCGGCTGCCACAGACATGGTAGAGAATCAGCAAATATTCAAAGATGCATTAATGCATCGCTCGTTTTGGTATTTTACTATTGTTTACAGATAAAACAAAAGATACAGGCGGACAACACAGAGCAATTTCTACCAGACAGACTTCCGATTGTACACAGAATATTTTCCACCCTTTCATCTGGCCACATTTGGATCTGCTGCCTGTTCAGATACAGTGAGAAAGGGACAGTGATTTGTGGGTCTGAGCAGGTGATGGCCTGTATTTGTGCAAAATCCTTTGATGATGCTGAGCAGAAAGGACTCCAGGTGTCACAGACAGCGTGTCACAGTGGGGAAGTGATTTAAATGTCATTCTGTTTCTGTCACAGCCCCGAATTACCAGTGAGTAGAGATGTAGAATAAAGGAAAATGTAATAATGTGTTTTGAATGGGCTTATTTACTTGCAGAAGGCCTGCAGACTAAACGGCTTCCAGCAGCTGACAGAAAGCAGTAAATGTCTGAGCCTGTAATTAACATGCAGAGATGTGTTTCAGCATTTCAAGTATCGCCAGCACATTCTTCATTCAGCCTGAAGCACGTCTGCCGTCAGTACGCGCTCCCTCCGTGAAAACACTGGGCGTAATGAGGCATGCTGCCACATTAATGGGTCAAAATGACTGGAATTCAAAAACATTCCTTTCTGAGCATTCACAGTCTTATCTCTGTTCAGAGGATACCTGTTGAATATAAGACCCAAGTTAACGTGCATCATGTTGCTGAGAGAGATGACTCATGCAGCCGGAGACACTGTAATAAACAGTGGCGAAAAACCTGAATTAATAAGAAAACCAACAACAAATGAAAATAAATAATAAATAAAAAAAGATATGACTAGCTTCATTGTCATATGATGCAAATCTGTTCCCAGGTAATTTACTAGGAATTGATTTTATTCTGCTCAACAGCTCATTTAATTCAGCAATTGTATCACTGCCATGACTTCCTCAGGGTCTTCATGCAGGCTGATATCCATTATAAACGTATATCCTTTTTAACAACTCCTGACATAAAACTAACATTCCATGTAGTGTATCATGTTATCTATTTCATGACGTCACATAAACTGCTGCCTGTTTTAGCATCGACCTGCAGGTCCAACAATTGTTGCTTTATACTTTGTCAGTGATGAGATGAAAGCTGGGTTTTTAGGTACCTTAATACACTGAACAAAAATATAAACGCAACACTTTTGTTTTTGCTCCCATTTTTCATGAGATGAACTCAAAGATCTAAAACATTTTCTATATACACAAAATAACCATTTCTCTCAAATATTGTTCACAAATCTGAAAAAATCTGTGATTGTGAGCACTTCTCCTTTGCCGAGATAATCCATCCCACCTCACAGGTGTGGCATATCAAGATGCTGATTAGACAGCATGATTATTGCACAGGTGTGCCTTAGGCTGGCCACAATAAAAGGCCTCTCTGAAACGTGCATTTTTGCTTTATTGGGGGGGTCCAAAAACCAGTCAGTATCTGGTGTGAGGGGTAGGATTAGGGTTAGGGTAATGTTGTGAATCGAGTGGCCTGTGTTCGTTGTCCAATGGGCAGGCGTATGTATGCAGTGCCCATACCATAACCCCACCACCACCGGGCCACTCGATTCACAACATTACCCTAACCCTAACACCATGATACTGACTGGTTTTCGGACCCCCCCCCAGGCCCCCCCAATAAAGCAAAACTGCACGTTTCAGAGTGGCCTTTTATTGTGGCCAGCCTAAGGCACACCTGTGCAATAATCATGCTGTCTAATCAGCATCTTGATATGCCACACCTGTGAGGTGGGATGGATTATCTCGGCAAAGGAGAAGTGCTCACTATCACAGATTTTTTTCAGATTTGTGAACAATATTTGAGAGAAATGGTTATTTTGTGTATATAGAAAATGTTTTAGATCTTTGAGTTCATCTCATGAAAAATGGGAGCAAAAACAAAAGTGTTGCGTTTATATTTTTGTTCAGTGTACAAGAGAAATTCTTATTTTTTCACATTTTTTATTTGCCCATAAACTTAGGGGATCATGTTGCCTAATGTCATGTAGCATATTGTGCATGGCTTATGACTAAATATGATGGAACCTCAGAAATGTGCTCTGGAACAGGTGACATTGAGCAGGTTTAAAGATGGGATAACTCAAATTGTCACAAAAAGAGATGATTTAAAGAACGAGAATACAAAGCCTGAGAGCGAGTGAGAGCTTTGTCAGTTTTGCTGTGTGGTAATTTGATCAAACGGATCAAACACATTTATTTTGCTGTTTGCTCTATTTAAGCCAAGCAACAGCCGAACAAATGAAAGTGTCAAAACTAGATTTTGACTCAAATGTTGGGATGCAGTTAACTTATAGAGTAGGATCCACTTTAAGGATTAAAGTTGGTGATGGGATATTTTGCTGACAGCGAGAAACTCCTATAATGGAGTGATAGGATTACTGTACAGTCCTTCTGATTCATACCCAGTGACACAATCAGATTTAATCTTACTGAGTTTCAGAACAGGATTCACGATCAGGATTACATTATATGTGGGATTTTTGGAGATGAAAATCAACTTTATATGTAATGCAGAATACGTTTCCAGTTCGATCACTATGAAACAAACTAAATGTTGTATTTGCATGCACAAAACCTGAATGAATGAGGTGCTACTAACTGATTAAGTTTTCATTACAGGAGAGTGAAGCTCCACCAGCTCCTCCTGCTGCTGTTCCTGCTGCTCCTCCTGCACTCAAAGCTGAAGAAGTGTCCAAACGAGAACCTGAACCTGCTCCCAGCACTCCTCGAGGCAACAAACCACCGTCAGACCCCCAAGAGGACAAAGAAAGACTCAGGGTACCAAAAAAATACATTTGTTTCGTTTGTGTGCACTGAAAGGACGTGTCATAAAATATATTTCAGTCATTTATTAACAATCTACCAGTGTTCAAGATCCCCCCTTTACTGCACTCCTTTATTAACTCAGTGAAATGCTCCTCTGTGTATGTACGATTTTGGCTAATCGACTGCTTGATTATTTCTGCCTCTTTTAGTTACTGTTGCTAGCTCAGTAGGCTTTTTATTCTTACTGTTTACAACAATATCACTGCGAAACTGTTCACATGGTTATTGAAAATGAATAGTTCACCTCTATTCCCCTTTACTTGCAAAGTTGTCTATAGTTGCTTCGCTAAGCGTTGGAGGTAATGCCAAGACGCTGCTGTAGCTAGCTAGCATGTTAGCCAGACATGCTAACAACTTAAAGCAGCCAACATTTTTTATATAATTGTATTTCCTTTTACGTCAGCACTACTGTATGCTTCATCATTTGGAGAATTACAAAAGGGTGCTTTTTTTTAGCAACTTTTGCAAACTATCAAGTGAACCAAGAGTGATGATGGTAGTTATCCATTTTAGCAGGCAATAGCCTACAAATACATTTTGTATTTTGCAAAAAAGAAATGAAGAGACCACTGCAGCATAATCAGTTTCTATGGTTTTACTTTTTATAGGTATGTGCTTGAGTAAAATTCCAATTTCTTTATTTTATTCTATAAACTACTGACAACATTTCTCTGTTAGAATTCAACAGACACTGGAATGGAATGGCTGCCATATATGTAGTCGAGATTGAGATTTAAGAAACATTTGGATAGGTCTCTTAAAATGTTTCAGTGTATATATTGGTGCTATTACGGTTCCAAGGTTTGCCCTGATTCGACTTGTGTATCTTCTGCCTTTTCAGGTGCGTCCCGTCCTGCAGCGAGGCGGCAGCTCGGCCTCCCTCCACAACACCTCGCTGAGGAGCACCATCTTCCAGCTGATGATCCACACACTGGACCCTCTGAGAGAAGGTAACAACCAAACCAACAATAGTTTCTGCAGTAACAAGATAGCATCTGCAGCCTGGTGGTCGTAATGTGTATATTATAGAGTTGATCAAAAAGAAAGGTAGGTTAGTCTGGATGCAATAGTGCTAGGTAGGTAGGTAGTTATTACTTTTATTAAAAATGCTGCTTTATATCAATTAATCAAATGAATATCATGTGTTACAAAATGAAACAAATCTAAGAAGCTGGATGTAAGTTTGTTAATTTATCAATCAACTTTGCTTGATCAACTATTATGCAGTAACTCAGCTCTGTCCTGGTCTGAGCCTCCTGTCCCTTCCTGTCAGTCAGGGTAACGTGATGAACCCTCGCGACCTTCAGCCCGTCCTCACACTGCCGGGCCGCTGTTCCCTCGCTCTCACAGCACTCGGCCACCGCTGATCCTTAATCAGCTTTTCAATACAGGCTAATAAAAGCTGGATAAGAGCCAGCGTGCTAGCAGACCGAGCTCTTTATCTCTGTGGAGCCTAACCCTAACCATTTTAGTATTGGACTGACTCTTTTAACATGTAAAACCTGTAAAAGACCGACTTAACAGCAAGTGGTACAAATATATGTATGAGCACACTTTAAGCTTATTTTTCCTTTTAAGTATTTAAATAAACATTCACACATTACCATACGTTAACAGCTGTTCGTGTGTCCCTGGCGATGCAGATTATTTATTTTATTGTCGATAACTGGTCAATCAAAGGCATATCACATCCGGATAGTTTTGTCAGTTGGAGACGTGTCTGGCAACAAAAAATCCTCTTTGAGTCCTCTTGGGTTTGTGTGTTGGTCTTTTCAAATTAAACAGGGAGAGATGCTTTGTAAAACCCCCGCTTTTTATCTGACGATCAACCATGGTCCAGGCTATCTCTATTGTAATGGAAAAGGAATTGTAGAAAATCTCTAACTATAGTTGGAAGTAGAGTGTTAGACATCTGCACAGATTCATCAGTTTGACGGGACACTATGTGCAGTCAACTTCAAATAAAAGTACGATGGCTCAGAAGTGAAAATGGTTGCTGTGCGTTTCCATCCGTAGAGGCAGCCCTTAGAGGGGCCATGAAAACACCGGGCCTGAGGAAAGCCAGGAGAGGTAAGAGCGCCCCCTAGACGTCACCTGGTTCTGTTCCCTGTCGTGTGTCCTGTCGCGATTGTACTCTTCATTCTCAAGTTCAACCCTGTCCCCCGTTTTGAGATGGTTAAACACTTATTGGATTACAATTTGGAGTCTGTGGGAGCACATTTATTTCCCATTCCAGCTTTATTTCATTGTCTGATCAAAAATACATTTCAAAAAGGACATTTTATCTCTACTGTAGATGCATGTTATTAAAGTGTCACATACTTGTGGAAGACTAATAATGGCATGTATTTCTGCCAATCAGAGACTTCCTTTAATGGTGATGTTAGAGGGGAGGGGTCAGTACAGAAGAAAGGTAAGACTGGCTGTTGTTGTTGTTGTGTTTGTGGATGTTGTTATTGTTGTTGTGGTCAGTCCGGGCTGCCGTACTGGTTGAGAATTTGACATTAGATGGTTGCATGTTGTTGTGTTTGCATCCAGTAGTTACTGTAATGTTGTGAGACAATCTTTTACAAAAGAGCCAGAGTGGGAGTGTAAGGCATGTTGGTTTGGTTGCACAGTATTGGCATGGACAAAGTATCTCATATAAAAAGCCTCCATGTTGTATTTGAGCAATGATTCTCTTGATTGCAGTGAAGAACAAAGTAAAGCCTCTGAAAGTCCCGGTCACGGGCAAATTAGAGAGCAAGTCCCATCATGGCGTCTCTGAAGGTGAGTTTAATGTTGGACACTAACACCTTTTGTAATTAAAGCCTGAAGTCAGGTAAGAAGATACAACTCATTTCATGAGATAATTGCGGTAAGTGAATTAGCCTAGCTAAGCACAAAGAAAGTAGCAGGTCTCCCTTGGAAAAGAGATCAATGATCTCAATGGGATACACCTGGATAAATAAAGGTTTGAAATGAAATGAAAGTAGCATAGCTAGCAGCTAGCCCTAATCTCAAATTATATTATTTTCAACCATGTAACTAAGAACATCATATACCTTACATCTTTCTGTATTTATTAAACAAGATAAAGTAATTTTTTAGGAGTTATTTAAAGCTTTATTTGTTTTCCCTTTTGACAGGAGGTGAATAAATAATCAACACGTTTATTTATAGCATATAGCATAAAGCATTTTTATCCTTTATGTTTACATTGTTTATTTTCCACTATAAATTCTAATGATGTGCAGTAGCCTACTTGTTTTACATGCTGCTGCAACGAAAACATTTCCCAATTCGCGATCATCAAAGTTTATCTTATCTCATCTTATATACAGAAATTAGATGTATAGATATTTCTCTTTTTAAAAAGGTAAATGTAGACATCAGGCATTTTCTGTGTCTTCTTGTGGTATTTTTTGTTTAAAGGTTTGAATGCTGTAAGTGCAGCACTGATATAACATATTGGTGGTGTATGAATCTTTAAAGACTGTGCGGGGGTGAGAAGGTTGTGTTTGTGTGGAGTAATGAGATCCTTCAGATTCTGAGGGGCAGAGCAAAGTGGAGCTGCAGGGAGTCTGGAGAGGCCTTAAGGAGCCTGAATCAATCAGCCTAATGATTAACATACAGATGGGACTGTGTGTGTGTGTCTGCCTGTCTGTGTGTATCCTTTTTTACTCCATTACTGGAACATGTTTTGCTCCCAACACTCCAATCACTCACACTTGATACTGGCTCACACAGCATAATCATGTTGGGGCCCATGCAAAGGTCTGAAGTTAAAGTGCTATGTTAATGTTGGCATCAGCTAGCTAACGTTAGCTGTAGCAGCTAGTGAGCAGCACGGTACTGTTTTGCTAACATTAACAGAAGTTACTTTGAGTTACATTACGATGTGTTCAAGCTCTACTCAGTTAAACTTAAATGAATGCTATAATTTCATAGAGGTTATTATGATCTGTTTCTTTGTTACTTTAAAACATTCGTTTTAAGAAGCTTGTATAATATATTCAAACTACTATGCTAGTTGTTTTTTTTAAAACTATATCTCCCTGCGTGTTCTTCCTCTTTCTCCAGATGCTGACCAGAAGCTAACTGAGCTAGCCACTGATGCTAATGCTGCTGCTGCTGCTGGAGCACCAAAGGGAGCTGCAGCTGAGCCGTCCACCTCACAGCCCCAAAAGAAAGAAGAAGAGACGAGGGAAAAGACGGCCGGCCAGCCAGACGAGTCGAAGGTATGCAGAAAAATAATGACTAGCATTCACAAATATTCGAATACATTTCACTGGTGTCCTTTCACCTGCAGGCGGCAGCGGGGGGGTCAGAGGGCTCTCAGGGCAGCACTGGGGATGAGTGTGGTGACGAGGAAAGTGAAGACTCCGATGAGAGTGAAGGTGATGACCTTGATGATGAGGAAAACAAGGAGGAGGAAGAAGAAGAAGAGGAGGAGAGTGAACCGCTGTCTTTAAAGTGGCCCGACACCAGACGCAAGCAGGCCACCTACCTGTTCCTGCTGCCCATCGTGTTCCCGCTGTGGCTCACGCTGCCCGACGTCCGCAACCTGGTGAGTAGCAACCACATCTTCAACCTCTCACATCCAGGGGCGGATCTACCGGGGTGGCAACTGCCACCCTAAACAATTGCCTTGCCACCCCAGCTGCCACCCCAGTTGGCATCTTTGATTTGAAAGAAAAGTTGTGGCTCATCGGACATTTATGAGAGAAAGTCTCTAATGTCCGAGTGCAAGTGAATGCAGCACAAGATGCACGTCATGTAACCCCTCCCCCGGTCCTGGCGCGAGAGTGGAAATATGATTGGTGGCGAATTCACTTGAACGGGGGGACGGCGCAAAACGAGAAGCCTTTCGGACCCAAGTACTGAAGGAATGAGGTATTTGCGGTCTACAATGACAGAGAAGAGAATGTCAAGTTTGACTGTACTCAGCATTGAATCAAAACGCACTACAGCTGTTGATCTTAATAAGTTTGTGAGGCGTTTTGCTGAACAAAATAGTAATCGCCGCATTCAGCTGTAATAGACATGCCAACTTGATGCTCTGCTCACGGATGACTCGATGAGAATAACAAACTGTTAAGATGATGACCTTGTATGCGTGTATATATTTTTTTCTTTGAGGGGGTCTGCTCCCAAAAAACTGTTTTAAGTCCTGAGAAAGTCAAATAAGACGGTGTGTAAAACTACACTGCCCAGCCAACAGAAAGTAACCACTTTGATTGAACTAGGCCAGTAGGTAAGGACCTTCCACTGGATAATAACTGCAGCGATGTTTTAGCTGAATACACGTTTTTTTAACCCTAACTGATGCAGTTAGTCACTTCTTTAATATTTGTTCTTTCTGATGTAAAGTCAAGGTTGTAACTGTATATCAATAATGATATAATTACTTGTTTTTCAAATTTGAAGGAGGGTGAGCAAGCATCTTGATGAACATTCATCATTAACTCCTCCAAAGAATATAGTTTATTCAATAATAAATGAATATGTGAATCATAACAGTTCTTCACTATATCTGTAAAGCGTCTTTGAGCACCTGTAAAAACGCTGACAAATTAAATCTATTATTATTATTATTTATTAACAGTGATTGACAGCTGATAGGAATAATATGATTGTTAATAGTATCATATTCATTCAGACAAACATCGATGAGACAGTTAATTAATGTACTTATTGCAGCAGTCTGCATAGATTTGGTACTCCTGCTGGTCTAAGAGTGAGACAAACTCATTCAGTTATTGTTCAGTTAAAATTCATTAAATTGCGTCTGCCACCTTATATGTAAGGCTTTACTGATGTGCCACAATAATATCACCTATGTGATTGAGTTAAAATATTAATATTGTGGCTTTCCAAGTTAACATTGATTGTAGGGGTGTAACGGTTCACAAACTATTCGGTTCGGTACGTACCTCGTTTTTAGGTCACGGTTCGGTTCGGTACGTTTTCGGTACAGCAGAAAAAATTATCACAAAACATTAAATATATTTTTTAAATTATTATTAAACTGTGACTAATGTATTCAAATAAATACAAAATATAGTAAAATAAACATTAAGGTGCAGCATTTTGATGAACTGAAATAATCTGTATTTGAACTGTACTAGCACCTAAGCAGCCAGTTTGACATTAGGACTTGCTTTTCATTGTATTTTCATGTTGTTTAAAGAAAGATGAACTTGTCCACATTGCTTGCTGAAAGGGCAGATCTGCTGGCAATAACAATGTCTCCTGCTGTGGAGAACACCCTCTCTCTAGGGACAGAGGTAGCAGATACAGCCAGGTAGCGCTTTGCTAACATGGCAACATAAGGATACTTGGCGTTTCTAATAGCTTTGGCTCGGTCTGAACTCTCTGCGAGTGGTGGAGGCTCAAATGCTAGTGGGAGTTGGGTTTGCACTTCAGTCTTTTTTCTTTTGGTACCGGTGATATTCACGTTCGGGTGATGCCTTTTCAAATGAGTGTGCAAGTTTGATGTATTGCCAGCCGCGTAACCAATGTTAGTTGAACAATGCCGACAAACAGCTTTGGTTCGGTCCACCTGTCTTTGTCCGTCATCCTTGTACGTAACTGCGAAAACAAAATGTTCCCCAAACCGGAGGCTTCAATGATGCTGGAGGATTTTCAGCTCAACTTTATCTGCGTTCGCCATTTCGACAGTTCCTCAAATTACTGACTAGATTTGAACGCATCCCTGTGACCAGCTCTCATAGTATGCCTCTCGTCCAATGAAATGACTTGGTCGCTCTATGATATATACCTGAGATTACTTCCAGAAAGTTGTTCATGTTCTAAATGTTTTACTTTTAACGCTATATTAGTTCGGTACATACGTGTACCGAACCGAAGGGCCCGTAACGAATAATTTCAGTACGGGTACGTGTACCGTTACACCCCTAATTGATTGATATGATTGCGATTTAAATCAGCATATACTTCTGTCAGGGGATGCCACCCCTCAAAATCTCCTGCCACCCTCTTGCCACCCCATGAATATTTGTCTAGATCTGCCCCTGCTCACATCTAACTCATATATCTACTTTTACACATCTCAGAGCTGAGTATTGTGCTTTTTTCTCCACTTTGTCTGACATTACAGTTGTTCTCGTATCTCCAGACATGTGTTTGGTTATATTACCAAAGCTCTTGTGTTTGTGGAGGAGCTGGAAGCCAAATAAATAAACAGTCCCATTTTGAAAACAAACACATCTTATCACCGACATAAAAGCGAGTTTTACATGTAAAGGACTTTATTATTTAATCTTGATACAGCTCTCAGTGTCAGTTTATCTGAACATGTTTTGTAATTTTCAGGTGTCCAGGCGGTATTTTCCCGTCACGTTTATTGGTTCCATCCTGTGGATCGGAGTTTTCTCCTACCTGATGGTGTGGTGGGCTCATCAGGTTGGTTAACCCTTCATAGTCATGTTTAGAGAAACTCAAAACCATTGTGACATGTTGGTTTTGACTGTAGAAAATGTTTCATCCAGTTTAATGACACAGCACGGTTTTATAAGAAAACACTGAACTACTAACAGTTTATAATAATTAGGATGAAAGGATAAAATTGAGTCCCAATTCAGTCGATGGCTGTCTGTGATGTTAAATAAATGTAAGTACTATTCTAAACTACTTGCTGAAATTGAGGTTTGATTTAACAATGACCTAATAAGCAAACTCCTGCAACTCAAGGACTTAAAGGAAAAGAACAATAGAAAATCGGCTTTTGTGCTTTCTTGCATTTGCTTTAATTGCTTTTAACAGTAAGATGGCAAGTTCGATATAGCTTGGCACAAGCTTAGCTTGGCATAAATACAGGAAACAAAGGGGCAAACGTTAGCCTGACTGTCTTAATTTAGCTAAATCTGGCTACCAGCATCTCTAATGCTCACCCATTTAAAATCTGTTTTGTATGATATGTAGAAAAAACAAAGTGTAATATTTGTCGTAAAAGGGAACATTTAATTTGATTTACAATAAGAGTTACCTTGCTTTACTTGAGAGAGCATTGACGCGCTGTTTCTTGTGTTTCAGGTGGGAGAGACCGTGGGCATCTCTGAGGAGATCATGGGCCTTACCATCCTGGCAGCCGGGACCTCCATCCCAGACCTCATCACCAGTGTGATCGTGGCCCGGAAAGGGCTGGGGGACATGGCTGTGTCCAGCTCAGTGGGCAGTAACATCTTCGACATCACTATAGGGTGAGCTTGGAGTGGAGTAGAAGTATGAAGTAGCATAACATGGAATTAGTCAATTTAAAGTTCACCTATTATGCAAAATGCACTTTTTGATGTCTCTTATTCATAAATATGTGTCCCTGGTGTGTAAGGAGACACACAAATTGTCAGAAAATACAAATCTCTCTCTCTAACTCCTTACCCACATCTCTAAAAACGGGGGTACAACGGAGCTGATCCAGATTTGCTGCGGTCATGACGACATTACTCAAATGTGGGCTGGCTTTACGTTGAACTCCTGGCGACATTCCGCCCCAACCTATCAGAAACAATGCGCAACGTGTTTTGGAAGTAATGTTGTCTGTGTTTACATTAGCAAGCATCGCTAACACTCAGAGCTAACCTGTACTGGAGAGAGTAGGTGGAAAAAAGCAGGATATAAAAGCTCACCTTGTGGTAAACCCGCGAGAGACAAAAAGCGTTTGAGCTCCATTCTGTTTCAGAAACAATCCTTGATGTGGTTTGGAACATGATATGGTGTTTCATCACTGCAGCGTTTAGCTGAGTTTCTGCTGGTAGACAGACCCAGAATCAGCACTTTAGTAACAGGGCTGAAATAGAGGGGTATGAGACATGGCTACAATGGGTGATCTGTTTGGTATTTTGAGCAAAACACTTCAGAGACATGTTTTGTATAGATATGGCCCTACAATATATCGTTCAAATATAGCATAGTATGTGACCTTTAAAGTAGAGATTAAGTGTGCTTTCCACTTCTATCAGATGTCAGATAGTGTGTGAACCTAGAACTGGATAGAAACCTGTCGGTGTGTCCCCTCTGGTTTCAGCCTGCCAGTGCCGTGGCTCATTTACACTCTATTACACAACGGGGAGCCGGTGACCGTCAGCTCCAACGGCCTGTTCTGCGCCATCGTGCTGCTCTTCATCATGCTCCTCTTCGTCATCATCTCCATCGCTGTGTGTCGCTGGAAGATGAGCCGGATGTTGGGCCTCACCATGTTCGCTCTGTACTTCGTGTTCCTTGTGCTCAGCGTCATGCTGGAGGATCGCATTCTCATCTGCCCCATCTCCATCTGAAGCCACACGTGACGTAGAACATGCAGACTGGATCAGTGTACCGAGGGTGTTACATAGGAGAACCCAGCCTGGTGTCAAGAGCTGAGCTGAGGCACAGTAGCCACATTGTAGAAACAGTAAAAGAGCAGTAATGAGGAAGACAAAATCCACCCTCAACATAATTTAACATCATACTGTTACATTCACCAGAAGCTATTTTTCTGTTCCACTTTATTTGAGTGTTTGAAATGTACGGAAGCCCTAGACGGCCATGTTTCAAACTGTTTATTGATTATATTACATTTTACAAAATAAATCAAAGTTATTTAACAATATCTTGATATACAGTAAAAAAAAACACATGTTCTGAGATAATTTCAAGCTTTACACAATCTCTGTAGAAATGTTATAACATCATATCCCAAGAAGCATCTGTGATTATGTGCAAAAAGAAGAAACAACTGTGGACTTCCTCTTTAAGTTTACTCACTTTAAACAACTGCAGTGTTTTGCTCTCCTGTACCTGCCTGTCATGGTGTAGAAATGAGTCCTTTTGCTACAGACTATAAAACTTTGGGCTACAAAAATAATGTTTTTAGATAAGATTAAGATACAAGTTAAACTCTACAGTAGCATTACATGTCACTGACATGCATTCAGTACGGTGGGCAGCCTCCCAGCTACTGGATATATTTGGATGTGCCTGCTCAATTATCAACAAAAAAGATTCACAATCAAATTGTACTAGAAACTAATTGAAAACATAATTTCATCAAGGTGTGTAAGAGTTTGTGTGTGCAGTGTGTCTCTGATATCGTCATCATAATGCTGCAGTGACTTAAAGAGATGATTCCGTTACAGCAGTGAGGGTCTCTTTAAAACTGCTGGATGCAACTCCATTCTGTATGACTAGTGTTCTCTCTAAACCGTGCTGTATTCAGTGTTTGTTCAGTGCGGAGAAGAAGGTTTCTGTGAGAGGAAACCTTTCATGTTGACAGCATCCTGTGGTGGAGAGGAACAGTGATGTGTGTTTCGGACTGTCTTAGCTGTGAGGAAAACCCTCAGGTGTCACCGTCAGATGTTACCGTCTTGTTAAATGCTGTTGTTGGATTGAAGTGGATGCAAACATGTATTATTGGTGAGAAAACTATCAGTATTTAAAATTAAAATGTGATGCTGCAATAAATTATTTTTTTAACAGTGAAGCTGTGTTCAATAATGCTTTGTTCATATAAGTATGTCATTAAAGTGTATTTAAATTAATTATTTTTACAAAAGTATAGTATTTCATGAAAAATACAAGCCATATTTTAGTGTGAAATAAAAACGAGATTTAAAAATCACATTATAGTATGTCATAAATATATAAAAAAAAGATATTATAGCCTTAACCCTGTCATAAAACAACATGAAAACAGTATAGTATGTCAAAAAAGTAATATAATATGCAATTAAAATGTTCTATCATACTGTCATTAAAATCATGTCATAGTATACGAACAGATAATATGGAATGTCATAAAATAATAATTATTATTCTTATCGTTAAATATCCTAAAAATATAGTCATATTGTAGTCTTTCATACAATTAAATATAAAAGTCATATTATAGTAGATAATATATTGGATATTGACATTTATGATTTTAGCACGCTAATGTTAATAAGCTCCTAGAAAGGCAACATGCTAGTCTTTGTTATGTTGCTTTTGCCCTGCATGTAGCTACCATGACATGTCAGTATAAAGCATACATTAAAGTCGCCTTATCGAAGAATAATACAACCGTTTTAGTTTTATGCCTCACCGAAATGCATCATGTGTATTTGACTAAATAATTGCAATGGCGATTAAAATGTAGTTTATTTAAAGTATTGAAAATTAACATTTAAATGCAATATATACACCTGGAAAAAAAAAACACCTCAAAAAATCCTCAGGAAACCTTTTGAAATATAATAAAGTAGTTATTGTACTAGTAATTCCTAAAAAGAACACACAAAGCCAACAATGAGTGTAAGTGATTTTATTTACAGATAAACAGTCTGTGGATCTGGTTGCTGTACAGAACCGCCACCACATGTTATAAAATGTGATTTCTACAAAGGGCTAACAATTCAAAAATGTACATGGCCCCAGATCCTGCAAAATCATTCACTTTGTACAGCTTTAAACACGACAAATATCCACAGATGGATGGCAGCTTTTTTCTTTCCAGCAGCTGACATCGCAGTCCTCTCCGCTCACTCTCCAGAGGAAAAGTGCAACTTCCAGTTAGTTTTCCACAGATCACACACATGGTTGACATTCATGAGACCGTCAAGAGTTTAGACTCGAGGGTCCTCCTTCAACCATGGCAAGTCATTTAGATTAACATTCAGAAAACATTAACAAATGTAGTTCATCTCCGGCTTGGATCCAGTTCATAATGTATTTGATATCATTTCCCCTCACAGAATCCTTTTAAAACTTTAATAACGTGTCTAAAATGTGTCTCCTCTCCATTATTTTTTATAGAAATACAGTCAGAACATGAGCTTTAAAAATGCAGATGTGTACAAAGACGTTTGTTATTTTCTAAACTTCATCATGTAACATTATTTGTCATTAAATACTTCATGTTAAATGGAACTGTTCATACATCACAGATATCCACCCCTCAGAGGACACATTGAACAGAATATTAAATGCCTTTTAGTTCATTGAATCAAAATCGTTTTTTTAAAGAAAACAGTGGGGGGTGGGGTGGAAGTTGATGAAGTTTCAATTTTGACATTTCTGCAGTTGTGATGCATTCGAATGGAGGATTAACTACAGAGTGACAGCATCATGTTTGAGACAGTGGGTTCTAGAAACATTGTCAAAGTGGTTCACGTACACATGTAGCACTAGCAGCAAACATTAAGTCCTGTCTGCCTCATTAGCATTTCCTTTGGGCATGATATGAGGATCCATTTTTGGTTTTATATAAAAACACAAATCAATGACAATCATAAAATCTCCAAAAATTCAGAAACCAGAGTCCACCTTCAGGTGCAACACTCAAACACATCTCGGAGCTCCTCAGGCTGTGTGAGCCCTCAGTGAGTGAGGAGCAGATGTAAGTCATTCACCGTCACAGGCTGAACATTCAGTGGCTGGTTAAGTGCATGTAAATTCAAAATATTATATATTTATAAAGCTTCTTCTTCTGGGTTTTACCAACAAACAACCTCCGAATAAAGTTTTTGGGACGTTCTGCAAAAACGTGCTCTTGTCTTCTGTTGTAGTGGTGTGAGATATCATAATGATACAAAATGAAACTCAAGACGTTATGCGACTTGAAGAACAGTAAACCTCCAACATGGCTGACAGAATGTGTATCCAAAAGTGTTTCCTTACAGGATAGAGGATATGCTGACACACCAGTTGGGTTCAGAGCAGCTTCTGTATGAGGAGGTGAGTCAGTGAATTCATCTGAACAGCCGGCACGTTTAGTACACACATGATGAGCAGTACTATACTGATATGTCCAGTAGGGCTCCACCGGTGAAGTAAACTCAATAGCTAAGCCAGCGGTGTCCAAACATGTTTCACCGAGGGCCACATAGAGAAAGATATACGAAGGGCCGGGCAACTCACAAGAGGCCATATTCCATCATACTTTAAGAATTTACTGAGGGCCCATTATAAATAGCTCCCGGGCCGTAGTTTGGACACCCCTGATCTAGACGAAAACTTTTTTTTGATAAAGTTAAAGACAGGTGTGTAAACAAACTAAATGTGTTGAGGAATGAAGTCACACATAGAGACGTAGAGAAACTGGTTTGAGAAGCAAAGTGAACGTTTGTCTTCAGACCCTGGACCGACATTAAAGGCAGATTTAAAAAAGTGGATTTTAAACATTTAAATTAGGGCCGCAACTAACGACTGGTTATCAGTCAGTTTATAAAGCGGTTCATCATTTTTCTGAATTATGTTGAATTATCATTTGTGAATTACGCTTTTCAAGATGTCTTTTTAGAGCCCACTGCTAACCCTTTCACAGCGGCCCAAATCCTCGGATTCTTTTTCTATGAATTTGCGAATTTTTCCAGCAGTAATTTTTACTTTCCTCCTAATCATCAATTATAAACACTAAATCCATTCTGCCACGTTTTAAACTGCGAGGCAAGAAACGCCCGACGGCAACGATAAAGCTTTAAAGGCCAGACAAAAACAAGACACTACAATAAATAAAGCTTACTTTGTATAAATAGAGTTCAAGTTAAAATATTGCTGATTAGTCTTCATATGCTGTATGACTACACAATATAAATGCATTTTAAAAGAATTCCTCTACTGCTGTGTATTTACAGTCTACAAACGGCATGAACTTGTTGATGAGCGGGGCGAGTGGTCTTTCCTTCAGTTAAAGAGATAGAGTTTGTCAAACTGTTTTTAGTTTCAGGCAACGTGACGCTGACTATCTTTATGATCCCTCGCAGAGTTTCAAAAACATTCACAGTCTCCAACAGGTTTCCTGAGCTCGTCTTAAAGCGATGATGTGGGGTGAGGAGAGTTCATCCTGGTGTGTGTGTGTGTGTGTATGTGTGTGTGTTTACAGGTAAGGCTCCCCAAAGGTCCTGCGGCACTCCATGACCCCCGTGCTGGGGGGGCGGTCACAGTTGTGGGTCAGCTTCACTACGCTCGGCAGGAGGCGGTCGTACGCCAGCTTGTACTCTCGATCAAATGCGTCTGAAGGGAGAGGAAACATTGTTGACATCCTCTCAAATCTATGGAGCTTGTGTTGTTGTGTTTTTGCTCATTGCTTTGGTTTTAGGCAACTTTTTGATAATAAGTCGTTTTGAGTTGATGTTTTTTTAACAAAAAAGCTCCAACAATCCACTTCCTGCTCAGCGCCAACTCATGAACTAACATTGTTAGAGGCTAGCTGGGGAACATAGTGCAACATTTGATGGCTAAAGACAAGGATCTAAACTATGGGCTCAGAACAGTCTCATAATACACACATGCACACAGAAGGATTCACACTTGTATTTCCGGATCCACACTTGTGTTTTTCAATGCACACACAAATGTGTTCCGTTTCATATACATGTAAATAAAATCAAATTCCAGAAAAAAGTTTTACATATGTATTTTTGATCCTCACATATTTGTTTTCCATCTAAAACCTCTGCACCTGCAAACACAACCCGCTTTCTGTGCACGGATCGCTGTGCATTTGTGTGTGGGTTTTTTGAGACTCCCCTGACGGTCAGTCGATTCGTAATTTTTTCTATCTGTAGCCAATCAGATGTCTCCTTCATTCTAAGCCAATCACATGAGCGCGCCCCCACGAGGGTATGATTTCTTGAGTTCATGACGTAGCGCTTCATGTACGCATTTTGCGCTGTCCGGTCAGCTCACTAAACAGAGGGCGGAGCTTCAGGTGATTATGCAGAGCTGCCTCCATCAGACTCAGCAGCTGATCTGATCTCTCTCTCGCGTCCGGTTATACTTCACTCACATTTATGTCCATATCGATCAGATCCAGCTCTCCTGATCGGTCCTTTATAGAGAGCACCGATCAAACTATTAAGAGTGAGTATCGGCCGATAATGACCGGCGGGGCTCCCCCCCGTTGACAGGTCACTGTCTAGCACTGGCTTCGTAGTGCACTGATCGATTAGGCTAAGCTAACCTGTAGCTGCTCCCTCCACACTCACAACAACTTCATGCAGACATAAATAAAGCAGCTGTATTCGCCATACAGGAAACACACATTTAAAACGGTTTTGCCTTCCGTTTTTGTGTACACAAGCATTCATCAATTGTTCGGAAAGTGGCGCTGTACCTTAATAATATAAAGGCTTGTATTTGCGTGCATTTCCTGTTTGGAAAGTGGCGCTGTGCTGAGAGTGGAGGTGTCCTGAGATTAGCGCCTGCAGGCAGGCTCCATGGACCTGTCAGCTCCGGACAGCGCAAAATGCGTACATGAAGCGCTACGTCATGAACGCAAGAAATCTACCCTCGTGGGGGCGCGCTCATGTGATTGGCTTAGAATTGAGGAGACATCTGATTGGCTATAGATAGAAAAAATTACAAGTACGAATCGGGTGACCGTCAGGGGAGTCTCAAAAAACCCACACACGAATGCACAGCGATCCGTGCACAGAAAGCTGTTTGTGTTTGCAGGTGCAGAGGATTTAAACGGAAAACAAATATGTGACGATCAAAAATACATATGTAAAACTTTTTTCTGGAATTTTATTTTATTTACATGTATATGAAACGGAACACATTTGTGTGTGCATTGAAAAACACAAGTGTGGATCCTTCTGTGTGCATGTGTGTATTATGAGACTGTTCTGAGCCCATACTAAACAGCAGAGTTTAATGGAAGGGAGTATTCATAAACCATTTGAACAAAGAAATCTGATGTTGCTGTATACCCGCTGCTGGATGTGTGACCAGGTAACTGCTTGCTCACATGTTTGTCATATGAACTTAAAAGATGATGATAATACTGTATGTGTATTACCTCATTCACACCAACGGTGTTTCGGGGCCGGTTCGGAGCTGGAGCTTGAAAAGCACCGGGTTTTCCTGTTCACACCACAGCGGAGCAGCCTCTTAGCTCCGGAATCCGGTTAGTTTCAAGCACCAAAAAATTGTCCGGCTAGAGCAAAAGCACCGCATACGTCACGCTTACGTCGAGGCGAGGGCAGGGGCGGGATCAACTCCTGAACAACAACAAGAAGCCCGCGTTTTATCCAGCTTGTACACAACGATGGAGAAACTTAACAAGCAGCAGTGGTCCACTGAAGAGACCAGCTACCTACTGGGAATCTGGTCTTCCGAAGAGGTACAGAGGAAGCTGGAGCACAATCGGCCATTGTTGTTGTTGTTGTCGGTGTCAGCTGTGAGGGGTTTCCTTGCGGTTTGGCTTTATGAAGCAGGCACGCAAACGGTTACGTCATGACGCAAACGATGACGCAGCACCAGTCAGACTCTGGGCGGTGTGAAAAGAGCCGGAGCTAAACCGAAGAACCGTTCTGAACCTGAAAAGCTCTAGCACGGAGCTTGAACCGGAGTTGCGCTGGGGTGAATGAGGTATATGTCGTGTTTACTGGCTGAAAAACAACAACTATTAATCTAGGTTTAAATACATTTCATGCTGGAACTTAATTCTATACAGTAAACATTACATTGAATGAGTCACACTGATGTGAAATAACGGGATGTGAGGTATCTTTGAAGTTTGAATAAGAGACATAGTGTAATGATGAAAACATAAATAATGACTCACCAATATCGATGTTATCTTTTCCCAGAGCCACCAGGGAGAGGAAGAGGATGTCTCTGTACAAACTCCTGAGGATGAAAGGTCAAGGTTAAAGGACATCACAAAATCAGTATTTTCTCAAAGTGTTTTTGTTTCATTAATAACCAACACATCTGTGATTAATACTGAAGGAGCCCTAAATCAACTCAAAGGGTTTCATTTAGCTGTAAATGTAATATGATTTGCGATGGTTAGTATCTTGGTATTGGTCAGTGTTTGTAATATTACCAGTTATTATAGTGTGTTTGCACACATGGTCATATGGAAATGGGGGGAACTCTAAAGTAGATGTAGTCCCCTGTTCACCTGTGTGAGGTGTGGGAAGAGAGGGTTGCTGTATTTGTGTTGGCTGCAAATAGCTGTGATTATTCTGATCATGTTTTTGTTGACAGTTGATAATGTTTCGGTAAATTAAGAATTGTTAAATATATTTTTGATTCCAGCATTACTTCTTCAAAGCCAAGCAGGCCCGACATCAGCCTCTCAGCGACTCATCCTAAAGCTGCTACAGGTGTTTTTAAGAGGTGAAATGAATAAATAGGCCTCATGTGGAGCTGACCTCTGCCGTTTGACCCCCAGCGTGGTGCCCAGCAGCTGCAGCAGCTGGGCCATGGGCCGGCTCAGGTCGTTCCTCTGGATGCTCCTCACCACGCTCTGCAGCAGCTCTTCGCTGAACGGCCTCTCCTCCTCCGGGACTGGCCGGGACAGAGGGTACCCCACGTCTGCCAAAACACACACAGAGTTCAGCGTTGACTCATACTAGTGATGAAGACATGAAACAATATAAACCTCCTGTTTCACTCAGTACTTTGGGCTGGGTATTTGTAGCCGTATAAAGCAGTATTCATTTGGCAAATACTGCAGGAGATCTATTCAAGGTAACAATATTCTTAAAACAATGTTGTTGCTGTTAAAAACAAGTTATAATAGATAGATGTATGAGGTATGTTCATAAAACCATGACTTGTATGGAGAAATTCATATTACTTTTACTGTTCTTTGGCAAAAGCTAAAGTAAATAATCTAAATTAAGACAAATACAAGTCGGATATTTTTTTATTTAATATTGGCAAATTGTTGACAAAAAAATACTTACTTGAAATACAAATGCAAAGTGTAAAAATTAAACAAAATGTGTTTTTGTTAGCATAATGATGCATTTGATTTAGGGGACCAAACCATTTAATAAATGAAAGGCGTGTGATGCTACAGCCACTTCCTGTTGACATATATTAGTTGATGTTTTTGATGCTTCAGAATTTCCATACGGATCAACAAATGACATGTGTCTTTCTGAGCTAAAGCATTTCTGAGGTTAATTGGTGCAACCTGATTAGTATCCTAGCTGTTAGAAGATTACTCACAAATTCAGTTATGGATTTATGAGTTTAAGCAACCGAGTCGTGGTGACAGAAAGATGATGAACCACTAAATCACAAACTGGAGGTTCTCAGGAGAGCCAGCACCATGAGGTCAGTACCCAGCCCTGTAAGTACTACAACATCTCCATCTTAAGCAGTTGCTGATTAAAACATCTAAATGTCAGGGAGTGAAGAAACAAATTCACCAGCGATGCAAACCTACATTCAAATACAGTGCAGGGCTGTATTTGAAACAAACAGTTTCACAAAACAAAGCAAAACCCCTACAATAACACTGCACACCGCACAGAGACGTTCACGGTGGAACCATGAAAGCTAGAGGCTGACTTTTCACAGACGACACTGCGATGCATCAAGCAGAGAGCACAGCACAGGGTCACAGCAGCAGGCCTCACACAGTACACACACACACACACACAACAGGAGACGAACACTCACTCTCTAACAACAGAGTACAATTAAGCCCTGGAAGACAGAGAGCAGACAGAGCCTGTTAGCACACGGACCAGCCGACTCCCAGGAGGAGCTAGTTGCTCCACGCCTCCTCCATTAAATAATCAATCAGTGTAGACGTGTTCGCAAAGAGTCGCAACAACAAGATGACACAGTTGGAAGAGCTCTAGTCATTATTTATGTTTGGCCTCAATTTTGCAGTGCTACCATTCAGGGAAGCAAAACATAAAAACCTGTGGATTAGTTATGCTTTTTTTCCCTTCCTAAACTTGGTTGAGTTTTTAATTATAGAATCTTTAATGAGCAAACCTCTAGGTGCAAGTGTCTTTTCTCAAATATCTATTGTGACTAATAGTTTAAAAGCTCAACATTTTGTAGAAAGAAACAGAAAAAATGGTCAAAGAAAAATGCTTAATAATGCACATTTACATCCACTATATGGACATACTGTACATGGGTACATAGTATAGCATTATATGGAGTCGGGCACATTACCATAAACAGCTGTGACCTTCGAGTCATTGTTCATACTGTTCTGATGTTCTCATCTGTCGCCATTTTTATTCCCATCATTAAACGTCAATGTTAGTTTCCATCTTTTACATTTTACCTGGTTCGCATTTTCTTATTTTCAACATTACATTGCATTTTTATTTTTAACATACAAACCTTTCCACTTTTAACACATTTTTTTTGCACAGATTTGACTTTGACATGCTTTAAACATGCTTTGATCACAGGAAGATTTAATCATACCAATTAGCGATCTCATCTAATGCATCCCAGTTAAACCACGGCGTTGAATTATTGGAAAAGTCTTAGCACGTCAACTCCACCTTCAAAACAACTCACATTTAAATCAGTTTTAACTGAAATCATAACGTTGAAGGCACATGTGACATAAGAACTCATTATTATTGGCCGATTGTTAACACAATAAAAATAATGTGGGATTACATTGCAATGTGAATTTCAGGACAAACAAACAAAACGTAGCAAAAAAAAGCTCTAGCTGACTGATACGTCATTCACATCAACGGTGTTTCAGGGCCGGTTCGGAGCTGGAGCTTGATAAGCACCAGGTTTTCCTGTTCACACCGCAGAGGAGCAGCCTCTTAGTTCCGGAATCCGGTTTGTTTCAAGCACCAAAAAATTGTCCGGCTAGAGCAAAAGCACCGCATACGTCACGCTTACGTCGAGGCGGGGGGAATTGGAATCGTCGTTGAAGTTGATGATTACGATTGTAAAGCAGTTTTGAATGTAGCATGTAACGACTGTAAAGTTGGTAGTAAAGTCGTCCCATTTCTTCCATTTCGTTTCGACAGAGCAAAACCAAAACGAGTAGCGCTTCAACACAATCAGCCATTGTTGTTCTTGTCGGTGTCAGCTGTGAGGGGTTTCCGCGCGGTTTGGCTTTATGAAGCAGGCACGCAAACGGTTATGTCATGACGCAAACGATGACGCAGCACCAGTCGGACTCTGGGCGGTGTGAAAAGAGCCGGAGCTAAACCGAAGAACCGGTTCTGAACCTGAAAAGCTCTAGCACGGAGCTTGAACCGGAGTTGCGTTGGTGTGAATGAGGTATGAGACCCTCAACAGAAATGAAAAAATACCCCAGTACACTATTGAATTGTTTCCTATTATCTGTCCACTTTACACATTAAGTAAATGATCTGGCTGTCTGCTAAGTCTGACACACAGAGCAGAGCAGAGTGACTCACTGAATGTGTTCCAGAGGATGTAGAGAGGCTGGATGGAGTCCTGGTGCAGCTTCAGGTTGTCCCACAGGATCTGGATCAACACGTGTTTACTGTCCTCCGACATCCAGTGACGAGGAACCTGACGAGAGACAGAGACAGACGCACTGCGAGTCACTCTGACGGTCACATCATTAACACACAAAATATCCTTTTCAGATGTTTTTTCCCGATGAACTCTTCTGATTGGAAAAATAAACTGTAGCTGATAATCTTGTTTTGCTGACCTCAGGTGGAACGATGTAGGAAGTGCACTATGTTAAGCATAAACGTCAAACTTTCCACCTAATTTTCACTACAAAGCACGTTATCACACATTATGTACTGTGAGTGTGTGTGTGTGTGTGTGTGTGTGTGTGTGTGTGTGTGTGTGTGTGTGTGTGTGTGTGTGTGTGAGTGAATGAGTGAGTGTGTGTGTGTGTGTGTACCTGGGAGCCTCTGTTGCAGTGCTCCGAGGTGAGCATGAGTCCGGGCAGGTTGCTGGGCAGGTCCAGGCGCCTGAAGTACCAGACCAGGTTCCAGTAGATAATGGGATGCTGGTCCACCATGTCGGCCTCGGTGATCACCGAGTCGCCCTCGTTCTCCAGCAGGCTCTCCAGCTCCTTCCACAGCACCAGCGGGCTCAGGTAGGGCACCGTCACCGGCTCAGGGTTGTGGAGCCGCCACTCCATATTCAGCGGGTCCTGAGTGGGACAGGAATTATAGGTCAGATTTCTAACGGTCATATGTAAAACAAGTGTTTTTGTGGGTGTTCAGTATTGTGACATACTGTGGCTTCATTCAGACGGCTGGGCAGGCTGCCTGACGTCGGCAAACGGTGGTTAATTGTTGGTGCTCCGTCCTGGGGACAGAAGGTGCTGATGCTGCGGGCCATGTGCCCCCCGGGGGACGGACCCTCCTGCCGCTGGTCAGACGGGATGTTGATACCTTCAGCATTAGTCGATGGAGTCCTGTGAAGTTTGTAACACACATCTCACAGTCAAAATGATAACTAATCGCATATAGCGATTTGTTTTTAATCTGCAAATACGTATTCCAGGGGTGGTATAGTTTTACTTCCATAAAAACATCACACAGACACAGAATCCAGATGTCTATATTACATGAATAATATTCAGTAAAATCAAAACACACAATGCTTTGTTCACTAATAAGTCGGCATTAAGATATCATGCATGCACTGTTCATTCCTGTTGCTTACCCACTTCATAACCTCATGAGGGACTTTATACAAGCACATGGACCCTCGGTCATCACACACACACACACACACACACACACACACACACACACACACACACACACACACACACACACACACACACACACACACACACACACACACACACACACACACACACACACACACACACACACACACACACACACACACACACACACACACACACACACACACACACACACCACACACACACACACACACACACACACACACACACACACACACACACACACACACACACACACACACACACACACACACACACACACACACACACAATCATTTCACATTGCTCTTTTACAATGCAGATGGGGAGCGTGTGGACGCAGCTACACTGGGTTCTCAGACTAACCTGAATTTAAAATGTTCAAATTCTGAGGTAATTCTGTGCACGTGATTTTAATCCTCCCTGCTGCTTCTCCTATCAAACCTGAGAAGGCTACAAGTTCATCAATAATACAGCAAACCAGACAGAAGAATTATTTTAGGATACGCATGTTAATCAATGAGGATGTGGTGAGTACCTTCCACTCCCGGCGCACTCCTGGACAGCGATCCCAGGGGAGGGAGGAAAGGCAGCTGTTTTAGGACACGGGGTGGACAAGGTGGACGTCCCCGTGTCCAAACCCGTGGAGGTGGAGTACGACGAGGTCATCTCCTCGTCCACCGACGGGCTGCCCTTCAGAAAAAGCCTGCGATGTTGAGAGGAAACACAGGGGGGAAATGACATCCAGGAAATAAAGTCAGGTGTCGTTTATCTTCTGTGAGTCATTTTGACCTAATTCACAGTCTATGTTTTTATTAAGATCCCCAGATAGCCAAATGTACTGAAAAAGTGAGTTTGTCATGAATCATGATATGTTCCCTTTTAAAGCCAGGTTTTCAGGAGATCCATGCATATTTAAAAATAAAACGTAATCAATCCTTATAATAGGGATTCATCACCCCATTCTTCCCACCACTACATTTTTACAGCAGTTCATCCCCTACCTGCCGGGGCCTCGCATGTCCCTGAGCTCCACGTTGAGGAAGGGCAGGAAGGGGTTCCCACAGAAGGGGCAGGTGGTGTTCAGGTTGGAGTCGTCCGCAGTCCAGCCGGCCATGATCTCCTCATCGTACACCAGGCAGTCGCACGTCTTACAGCGGGAACAGCTGGAGATCAGCAGCTGGAAACACACAGAGTGGCTGGTGAGCTTACAGACTAAAAGTCATCAAGGTTTTAAATAACATCGATTTAAACTACTTCACTGTTATGGTCTGTAAAGCACTTTTGAAAGCTGTTACACATGTTTTTACTTAATCAGACATATTTGATGTGACAGACTGGATAACTATTTATTAATAATAGCACATGATAATATTGCACCACCCGTTTGCAGAGTTTGAACTCTTGTAGCCAAATAACCTTGCACATCTTATACATTCATATCTGTTGCAGAAGCAGACACACTTTCTATTAGCGTCTTCTAAGCATTAGTTTAGTTTCTACTCTACAGCTTTATGGTTTTACCTCCATGGCGTAGTTGTTGAAGATGCTGGTGCTGCTGGTGTAGCGTGAAGAGCCGAGGTCCGACCTGTCTGGCAGAGGGAAGCCGGGGGGGGAGAGCACACATCCTGCAGGAGGTTAAGAGAGATCAAGATATCTGACAATACTTTGAGTGAAAATGTCAGCATAGATTTCTTGAGATGTTTAAGACAAAGGCATTTGTAACAACATGACCTTCATACCTTCATCCTGCCTCTTTTGGAAACAGGTCTACTGTATATTTATTTGGGGAAAGTACGACATATTTATGCCTTTTTCCTTTTAGAACATGTTTTAATAGACTGCTTGACATTTTCCATCTCTGTGTCTCATTTCTTGTCAAAAGCATGAGGCAAATATAGCTATCCTGAGCCTTGGTCAATCGAGCTATAGCCATAAAGTACTCAGAAAATGTGTTTTTAATCCGTTTGGGGGTTTGATTATATTAGACACTGGAAAGTTAGTAATATAATATCCCTTCAGCTCTTTTCGGTGAGTGAGAAGAATGTTCTCTTACCAGGGAACAGAGATGTGGGTCTGCCCAGGCTGTGGCCGGCAGAGGGGCTGTGCTGTGTGCTGCGCAGGGGGCTGCGTCGGGGGCTCTTGCGGGGCCCTGAGGGGCCGTTCCTCTGTGGAGAGATCAAGGAGCCATCACAGTCCTCGTCATCCAGCAGCGAGGCGCAGTCTGGATCTCCCAAGCCAAGGGAGGAAATACTCAGGCGGTCACTGTGACCGTCCTGAAGAAACAGAGGAGGCGGGTTAGTGTCTTCGGGGACAGCACAGAGGTATGATCTTACAATAATAACACGAGGTGCAGATGTATGTGAAATGTACGCTATCTGTGTGGCAGTAGCCTGTAGTAGCGTGCCATGTAGTAAGTCAAGTAGAAGTCTTGACTTATTTAGTTGGTCAATGAAGGCTTTTATAACAGTAAGACTATTTCACTGACATTGAAAATGCCACTAGATGGAAGCAGCATTCCACCTTTAGGCTCATCTTACTGCGTAGAGAGCTTACAGAAATACTGACCGACACAGAAACATAGAATTTAAACAATTTATCCCAGAAGTTTTTATGTAGGTGAAATAATATTTTCCTTCACCAAACACTAATATATATATATATATATATATATATATATATTGTATTTGTTGTCTTATGTTGTGATGTTTTTTGTTTTGATGGCACCATTGAAAGGGAGAAGCATTTATTTATCTCATTGTACATGTATAATGCAATGACATAAACTATTCTATTCTATTAATAGGTAGCGATAAGTCTGTTATTTTTTTAATGAAAATGTACAAACAGGGTTTTAAATTGGGTCACTATTTATATTGGACCTACTTGGAACAGACTCTTTAGAACAGAAGATATCAATAAGACAGGAGGATGAGCATGGGGTTTACTTGATTCGGGGAGCCATATTTAAATATATATTTTGTGTGAAATTAAGTGCAGAGACTAAAAGCTGCATTAATTGGGTAAACGTTCAGCTGTATTACATTCAACACTAAATTCACCTTCCCAACACACATACCTTGGTAGGCGTTGTGTATGTGGAGAGGCGGGAGTACCAGCGGCTGGCCTTCTCTGCCACACCCTTCCCAGCGGAGAACATGCTGGTCTTGAATACATCGAGCGTTGGTGTGATCAGAGTGTCCAGAGCGAAAGAGGAAGAGGAGGGGGAAGGCGATGCCAGGCTCATCCTGTCCGTCCTCTCCCTGTAGGGGCTGGGGCGGGGGCTGGCGCTGGGGGTGGTGCTGGAGCTGTGGCAGGAGGGGGACGAGAGCAGGCGCTGGCGTGAGACGGACTGGGAGGGCGAGGGCGGGTGGAAGGTGCAGGAGCGCTGCATCCCAGCAGCCCTGAGGGGGGAGCTGTGGGGCAGGCTGGCTCTGCGGGGGGCCGAGAGGGAGGAGGGGTGGAGGAGGAGGGGGCTGGCGGAGTCCTGCAGGTCCATGCTGGGGGTCCTGCTGCTCAGCGGGCTGCCCATGTGGTTCATGTAGAGCTCGATCTCTCTGGCCAGGTGCCTTCGGGCGCTGGGAGTGCTGTCCTCGTCCCCCTCTGGGTACCGGTCCTCACACTGCTCCTCGGACTGTGTCTCTGCCACCAGGAGGGACAGAGGGTCGTAGCCCATCTGTATATCTGTGCGCTTCACAGTTCCTCTGGTCGTCATGGAGCTCACGCCCCCGTAGCTCACGCTGCGTCCGACAGGTTTCTTATTACATTTGTGTGAGCTGATGCCAGCCCCTGTGGCAGGCTTGTCTAAATCCAGATCCTCCAAATCAAAAATGGCCTCTGTGTTACCTCTGTCCTCATCACTGGAGTCCTGTCCCTCCGCCTCTTCCTCTTCTTCCCCGTGATCAAGACTTCTGGAAGCAGCCGCCCCCTCTATCCCACCCAGAGCCAGCGAACGAGGTCTCTTTCTCTGACTGAATTTGGCACCAGAGAGAATTTTGACGTCTGCGCCCATGTGTCCCGCGATCTTATCTGGGTCTGTTTCCCCCTGGCTCATCCCCAGGCCCAGGACAGTGGTGCCGCTGCTGCCCACCGTGTCCCCGCTCAGCTGGCGGCCCCTCCCCCCCTGCCAGTCGAGAGCCGAGCCGCTGCCCACCACCTCCTCCAGAGCACTCCTGTGTTTCCTGAGCAATCTGTTGCCGTGGACCTCACCGATGTCGTCCAGGGAGGAGGAAAAGAGGAGGCCTGCAACATGGCCTGAGAGAGGGAGGGGAAGAAGGGACATTAGTAAGTATTAGAAACAAACCTGAGGAGATCAAGTAATAATAAGGAGCATTCTTTCGGTCCAGACAATGCTCGGTGACTGACTTCTGGAGCACTTCAAAGCTTTGACGGACATTAAATTCTCCTGATTGACAATATCATGTTCTTTAATATAAAAGTGAAAAGGGCACAAGCTTGGGTACATAGATGAACTACTGTCAAGAAACATTTTATTAATAAGAAAGTAAATACTGAGCCTCAAATTCTGTTGGCATGGGCTGCTAACGACAGGCCGAATGTAAAGATAGGATACATACAGTGAATCACTTAGTCAAAGTTATATCTTTTTCACAAAGTGTTCTTATGATACTAAAGATCTGATTCTTTCTTGTGTCAACATGAGCTGAGCCTTATGGGTATTGAATTCATCTAAACAGGTTGCAATAACAAACACCAACAGTACCATTAAGTTATTGAGAAGACTTCCGATAAAGATGACATTTGGGTGTGAATTTACTCATTTTCCAACACTATTAAATATTTGTAAGTTTCCTTATTTACCCGCGCTGACGGAGCTCTTGGGCTTACAGGAGGCTTCGTCATACGGATAGCTGCTGCGCACAATGCCGCGGGGTTTGAAGGACGAGTGAAGCTCCATGTCCAGCTGAGGGAGGCAGTCTTTGCTCCCCTTGGCGCTCTCTGTCTCTGACACTGCCAACACAGAAATTACAATTTATAAATCAGTCTTGTTTTTACAGTAAAGCACAGCTTGAATCACACCACTGTTCTTTAAACGAAAGAAACAATTCCCTGGAAGGAAAACACATTACATTACATTGCATTTAGCTGACGCTTTTATCCAAAGCGACTTACAATAAGTGCATTCGACCAACAAAATACAAACTTGAAGAAAACAGAATCATATAAGTACATCAGGCTTCATAGAGCAAAAACATTTCAAGTGCTACTCAACTGGCTTTAGATAAGCCAGCCCTTTATTAGTATATAAGTGCTTTGTTAGTAATTCTATCGAAACACACGACTGAAATGCTTTGATGTTGAGAACCACACAAAAAAAGAATCATCTCTGAGGGAGAAAGATCAAGGCAGAGGAAGGGGAAATCTCTCGTGTGAGATGATTTTCTTAGAAGGTACAGTAGACAGAAATATCAGGTGGTATCAGATCAGACAGACTACTGACAGGAGCTGCAGTCGCTCTCTTTCTTGTCATCTTTGGAGTCCGGAGCGCCGGGGTCTCCTCTCCGGACCTCCTCCTTGGACAGTGAGTTATAACCCAGATCCGATTGATCCCCTAGAGAACAGAGATAAAGACACGTATGAAATCAGATGAGAGGGATATGAAAAGGCACTAAAGTCTGTGATATTAACCCACAAGATCACAGAAATATGCTAAATGGAAAATCTAAGCAGAGGCAAAACTCTGGAAATAGCGGCACTTTAACAACACTGTACATGACACCATTCTCGCTTGCGGGCCTTTCATTTTACAGTATCTACTGAAATCCAGTGCTTTTTGGTGTCAAAAAGTGAACCTATTGTGGCTTTACAGTGTTTGTATGCGAAGTGAATGAATCATACATAAGTGGGAAACCTAGAGAGGCATTTCTTCCCTTTCATCTCCTCTTTTGTGGGAGGCTCATCACTCTTGCGGAGGTGAGAGGAGAGGAGAAAAGCAGCTAAGCTGTGCTGAATAAAGATAATCCTCCTCAGGGCATGCAGAGATCTACAGTTACTGTCGGGAAAGTGACTGCAGTTTCACAGCTGCTAATGAATTTAACTGTTAAGACTTGACGTTAAGGAGGGGGGTGAAGAAAAAACGTGCCGCTCTACAGGCTTACTCTCCCATCTGCTTCTAAAACCCGGGGTCTCCAGGCAACCAGCTGTCTGATGATTTTGTTCTCCTTTTTCATCTTTCTCATGAACCTTCAACTCTAAATAAAGCATGAGGCTGCACAGCTCGGCTGCGTCGATCGACTGATGGCGCAGAAAATAAATAACCATGATCACGGTGCTTCCCTCCTGATGAGCTGCGGTTCAGACTTCTGCACACGAGGAGAAGTCTCCTGCTGAGGTGCCAGCTCCATGATTAAAACTATTACCGTAATCAAAAAGAATGTGCCTCTGGGTAATTACTCGCCATAATTGAAATGACACATCACTCTGTGGTGAAAGGAGGAGTGAGAGAGAAAGAGAGATGAGTAGCAGAGTGTGCCGGAGAGACATGACAGGAAGAGGAGGCGAGGTCGCAGAGACGGCAGAGAAAAGTGTGACGATGAAAAATAAAACAGGTCAGGTGAGATGAGGCAGAGAAACCAGAGAGAGAGAGATATGCAGACTGACAGAGCGGATTACCTGGGTGGTGGGTGGCTTCTCTGAGCTCAGAGCCCCCCCAGTGTGAGTGCGCCACCGGGGCCCTGGCGCCCACGCTGCCGCCCCCCCGGCCGACTGCATGCAAGGGCAACACAGGCAGGGCCAGAGTGAAGGGCGGGGTTAGGGTACAGAGCACAGCCGGGGAGAAACATGGATGTAAAGAAGGTGGAAGAAAAACAGGCAGCAGAGGGGAAGGAGGTTTAGGAGGAAGAGGGTAAATGAGGAAGAGACCGGTCGGTGAGTGGGACAAATGAAGGATAAAAAAAATAAAATGTCATTGAGAGAGAAGAACAAGATGTAGAACAAGATGGCTGCCTGAGATTGAGTGGTGCAGCCGGCGTGTTGAGTGTACCTGTGCTAGATTTATCATCAATGGGGTCTACTTTGGTGGAGTCAGAGGCGAAGGGGCCCAGGTTAGTGTCGGCAGAGCTATCCAGGCTGCCGTGACTCACAGCGTCCAGGTCGCTGCCATCTGCCCAAAGACAACAAGGCGTTACAGGAAGCCGGGCGCCATTACTGCTCCACAACTCTACTACTTTCAAATGTTAAATGTTTAGAAGACAGAGACTCGGACACCAGATTAGCCTTTGTCTAATGTCTTGAATAAACTGTATTTTGGTGGGTTCTTTTGACATTTAAACTTTTTTTTTAAACTTTAATTTTTTTTGACAAAATTCATGAATTCTCTCTTTAATTTCAGGTCCAAATGGTTTCTTAAAATGTTCTGGACGGGAACCTCTTTGCAACTGTAAATAAATTGGAACATTTAGATTGAAATTGGTTCTAATTATAGGGAAACCAAAGGCTGATTTAATGTTCCACTGCAATTACAATGAACTCAGACTGCAAAGTAAAGAGTATTTTAATCACTGCACAACGGATGTTTTTTAGGGTCCAGATGATAGCAGTCTTTTAAAAGGAGATTCTGTCTACAATTTAACACATTGTATTCAGTGGCGACTGGTCATTAGTGTCAGCAGAAAGTATTACAAATATTGATTACAACAAAATGCAAAAAAATAATTAAAAACAATATAAAATATATTTTAAGATCATGTTTAATCATCTGATACGTCTGTACATTGCTGTTTTAGTCTGTGTTCTTCTAATTAGTGTCTACAGTGTGTGCCTATAGAGTGGCGAAGTCCCTCCCCTTCCGGTGGACCTTCATGGGACCTTATTTCGGAAAAATTATGTATTGAAGTCAATGGAGAGAGAAAGATTATCTTTGGATCCCGTTTGAATTGTGCCACGAATTACACATATGATGTTCGTCAATTTAAAAGATAATTTTGCAAGTCAAAAAAATAAAAAAGTGTCATAAAACTGAAGTAACACATTTGTTTGTGTGAAACGCTCAATGAACTACATCTCTGGTCTCGCAGAACAACACACGTCACCAAGATGGCCATCACTACTGTCTTGTCAACAAAACGATTGACTACCCTCACTATCACCACAATGAAACACGTCCAGAAGAATGTCATGTCCACACAGCGGCATGCGTTGACGCTTCACCATTCACTTTGAATGGGGTGACGTCACTTTTCGCCGAACTGCATTGTGGGAAGCGACGCGGAGCGTTGCTGGCGTTGCTCACTGCAAAAGTTGAGCAATGTTCAACTTTTGGCGCCTCGGCAGAAGCGTCAGCCAATCAAATCCCGTTTATGCAAATCTGCCAGTACAAGTGCTAGCCAATCAAACCGCGTGTATGCTGGGAGAGACTTAGAGAATTATAGCGGTAGTGAATCACCCGGTGTTATATGATCAGTCTCTGTTCAGCTACCGGGATACAAACCGGAGGAGCCAGGCATGGAGGGAGGTGGCAGAGACAGTGGGTGGAACTGGTAGGTTTTCGCCTGTTTGGGGAGTTTATTTTATATTATATATGATATTCTGAACAAACTGTGCTGTTAATTAGCTGTAAAGTGTCTCTACTGTAGGCTATTTTTATTATATGTACAGCACTTTGGCTCGACCAAAAATCGTTTATAAATGTGCTATATAAATAAAACTTGATTTGATTTGCACGGGAGATTCATGTGATTGGTTGTTGGTCTCGTTGCTCGCATAAACTCCCCAAGCTTCAGACACGTCCACCGCCAAGCGTCAACGCACGCCGCTGTGTGGACGGGCCACTGTTTAACATTTTAGGTTACTTAATGATACTTCATATTAAGGCTAATGAAAATGACATGGCTGTAATGCTAACTAATGTGCTAGCTACTAGCTAGGTAGCTAACTTGATCCAGCCACTCCTGGTCCTTTCATCAGACGGGAAGCGAAAGAACGAGCAAGACCCATTGCTGGTATGATAACAACCTGGTACTAAGCACACAGGCATCTTGTTAAAGTTATCTTATTTTAGCCAGCGCCATATAGATAGATTATATCTATAGAGTGGCGAAGTCCCTCCCCTTCCGGTGGACCTCCATGGGACCTTATTTCGGAAAAAGTATGTATTGAAGTCAATGGAGAGAGAAAGATTATCTTTTGATCCCGTTTGAATTGTGCAACGAAATTACACATATGATGTTTGTCAATTTAAAAGATAATTTTGCAAGTAAAAAAATAAAAATGTGCCGTAAAACTGTGAAGTAACACATTTTTGTGTGTGAAGCGCTCAATGAACTACAACTCTGGTCTTGCATACGTCACCAACACCAAGATGGCCATCACGTTAGCACATTTCACCTCTTTCTTTCAGAATGAAGCGAAAAGTATTAAAAGAGGTGAAAATCACTACAAGTCTGGCCATGTTGAGAACTGTACATACACAAAAGGGGAGTTAGTCGGTTCCAGCATGCAGGACCGGCTTTACAAGGTTTCGGTGAGTAAGACGAGTGTAATGTGTAACGTTAATGTCAGCTAGCTAAATTCATTCATAGTTGCGTATTTTTCAGTCTTATATTTCAACAGTTTTACGACAAACTGTGACTTTTTTTACATGGAAATTATTTTTTAAGATTGACAAACATATCATATGTGTAATTCATGGCACAATGCAAACGGGATCGGAAGATACGTTTTCTCTCTCCATTGACTTCAATACATTGTTTTTCCGAAATAAGGTCCCATGGACCGGAAGTAGATGGGCGTGACTTCGCCACTCTATTGAGCTGTTTAGAGCCATGTGGGACCTATGTGTGGGACAAAACCCGATCATGGTTTAAGTGAATAATAAGTGAGAAATGAATTTAACTTCTGTTAGACAGCCAATCT